AAATATAATGTGGAATTGTGTTTCAGTCTTGTTAGCAATTAAGGAAATGCAAATTAAAACCACAAGGAGATACTATTTTGCACTTATAAGCAAAAATCCAATGCTAAGTGTTGGCAGGAGTGTGGGCTGATAAAAATTCACATACACACCTGTTTGCTAATCTTTATACATTATGCTGGCCAAAAGTTTTTATATATGTATTGCATATTTCATTTAAAAATTAGACATAAAATGATTTAATTCTTGACAAATGCTTCTAGTATTTGTTATTAAGCCAAATGCCAGGACTGTAAGCTTTAATTATTTAATATTCAATGTCTGCTGGTATTACACTACAGTTATTAGAATTAAGAATTTTTTTTAGTTGTAGGTGAACACAATATCTTTACTTCATTTTTATATGGTGCTGAGGATCAAACCCAGGGCCTCACGTGTGCTAGGCAAGCACTCTACCACTGAGCCACAACCCCAGCCCAAGAAAAAATATCTTTATTGGAGGAAAAGAAAGGTGGAGGGAATTTCATGAAAATCGAAGGGAGATCTCTAGAGGAAAGGGACTGGGGGGTGGGAGGAGGGGCCAGAAAAGGGAAATACTAGAGAATGATATTGGCCAAATTATATTGTTCTATTGTGTGCATGTATGAATATGTAACAACAAATACAACCATTAAGTACAACTGTAATGTACCAATAAACATTTGGAAAAACATTAAAAATAAAATATGTTTATTGGGAAAAAAGAGAGATAGAGAATGTATAAGGAAATAATGTTAGAAACTAAGAGGGAGTCATCACCACACATACAGTGAAGATCGAAATGTTAGAGAACTCTGTACATTCATTTAAACCAATACATTTGAAAACTTGACAAAATGAATGATTACTTAGAATATATATGTATGTATATATAAGCTGGCTCCTCATTCCTGACTGTGGTAACTGACAGCCCCAAGGGCAGAAATTATAACTAACCCACATATGCTGCCCCCCCCCCTTTTTGTTTAAGTACTAGGGATTAAGCCCAGGAATGCTCTAGCACTGAGCTACATTCCCAACCCTTTTTATTTTTTGAATAAATTGCTCAGGCTAGGTTTGAACTTTCAATCCACTTGCTTCAGCCTCCTGAGTATCTGGGATTATGCACCCTGTGGCAGATATATATTAAATTTTAGGCCAGGCATGGTGGCACATGCCTATAATCCCAGTGGTTTAGGTGGCTGAGGCAGGAGGACTGCAAGTTCAAAGCCAGCCTCAACAATTTAGTGAAGCCCTAAGCAACTTAGTGAGACCCTGTCTAAAAGTTAAATATGAAAAGGGCTGGGGATGTGGCTCAGTGTTCCTTGCCCCTGGGTTTAATCCCTAGCACCAAAAATAATAAAATAAAATATTATTATTATTATTATTATTATTATTATTATTATTATTATTATTATTATTAATAATTTATTAGGGGGTCAGAGCCTCTCTCTCAGGTGTAGCCCACAGATTGCCATGTTAGGGATGTAGACACGTCCTGCTCTCCTAATAGATCCCAAGAGGCACATCTGCCAGCTATGGCTTCGGCAGTGTGGAGGAGGAGCTATCCACTCTGTGCAAGGATGAGCCACAGCTCAGTACTGAATAAAAGGACAGAGCTGGAAGTTGATTAACTGTGGTGACAGAGAGCAGTGCTGGTCAGAGGGCTGCCCCGGGAGGGTACCCTCTGACTGTATGTAGAGTTTTGAGGAAGTGTAGAATGCAGGGATGGTTTCAAAAAGTAAAAAGAAATATGTAAACATATTTGAATTACATTCTATTCAAGCCAATTTATCTGAAATATGATCAATTTCACATAAACAATGTTGAAAATTATTAATGAGATCCTTTACCTTCATTTTAACATACTATATCTTCAAAACCTAGCACTTCAAAAACTTCCCACTTAGAGCATCCAAGAAAAAAGTGCAAGACTTGGGATCACAGTGAATCTTCCCATAGGAAGAAGACTCTCTTGCAGGAATCTGAGATTTCTACATAGACAAATCCACACAAAGAAGATAGTTGAGTCCCAGCATGCACTTTGTTTATGCAGCCGAATAAACAAAGGTATTTTCCAAATGTTTTATCTCCAAACCAAAAGGTCTAATGATCTAATTATTTTAAACAAAGACTTCTGCAGTCACAAATCATAAGGTAACAAAATGAATTCACCAATGAGAGCTCAGAGAACTCGGATCATTGTTGAAATGATGACCTGGCCACAGAGAGGAAGTTAGAGAGTAAGTACCCCATTGATGCACACCTTCGGCAACAGCCTCTGCAGACACTCTGGGTTGCCCTAGAAGAAGCCTTCTCACTATCTAGCTCAAAAGGCAAAGCTGGAGGGGGCTCTACCTGCAATGTGCTGCTCCCTGCTGACCTAGAGTGGTTGGAGCCACATCTGTCCTGATTGGATAAGTGGCTTCTGAATTTGTAGCACCAAGGTAAAAGCACACAATTGGTGCCATGGTTTGAACGTGTCCCCCAGAAGAATGTCTTAGAAACTTCACAATGAAACAGAGCTGGGAGGTGACCAGGCCATTATCAAGCAAGTGGGCTCCTTCTCAAAGGACAGATCTGCCCCCTTGCTCTCTCTTGTCCTCTCTTGCCCATCTGTCTTCCACATAGGATGACATAGCAAGAAGGCCCTTACCAGTGCCAGATCCTTGGTCCTGGAAATCTCAGTCTCCATAACTGCTATAAATAAATCTCTGTTCACTGCAAATTACTCAGTCTTGGTCACGTTACAGCAGCACAAAATGTACTAAAACAATTGATTGTTTCATTACATGAGTGATGCACTTATACTTGCACAGTACATGCCTATTCTAGAAAATGCAACTAATGAAAACTAATATTAAAAATGACCCATCAGACATCATCTAGAGATAATTCTAAAATAAATATACATATACACATCCATCCATATGTACATATATGTGCACATACGTATAAATATACACATGCATACACATATGTACATGTGCATATATTTATATATACACCACAAGCGTACGTACACATGTATGCACATGTGTACACATGTATAAATATATACACGTGGGTATGGTATGTGTATAAATATATACATATATATACATATGTATATAAACATTTAAAACATATAATGTATATTTCTAAAATGCAGGCATGTAAAGCATATATTCATAGCCTTCTTTATAAAAATATCATATACATTTTCGATGTCAATAATTATAGTACTTCACAATTGTTGTGAGTGGACTGCAGATATTACCCACGATCACTTACTCAAGTGACCTTCTACTGGACATTACCAATTGTTTTGCTAACAGTCCTCTGGCTAAATCCTTGCCAAAATCATGAACTACTTTGACAGATTTTAAAAAGTAGACTCATTAAATCAAAGAATAAACACATTTGTATGAGCTTTGACTGACATCTTGTGGCAATCCAAGTGTTACCAGCTATTTCCCAGTCTCTGTTAGCATCAGCTGGGGCCTCCTTTCTGTGGTTGATAACTCATCTCAGGCTGCGGTTCTCACTGTTACATAGCAATTTCTGTGTCAACCCTGGGACCAGCCAAAAGCTGTGCTTTTCCCAAAAAAAATACAAAGGGGTAATATTTCTACACCTTACCGGCATAAAATTATTTATGTGGCAACTCTATGCAGAATAAATCTCCTTCCATTTTATTTGAAGCAAAATTCAGGCACGTTTTATGAGAGCAGCCATAAAATAACTCCAATGAGAACGATTTTCTAGGCATAGTTATTGTAAATGGCTTTTCGAGGTTTGGAAAGCCTAGTTTGGCTAGCAGAGAGCAGGGTGCAAGTGCAAACAGAAAAGACCCTGAAGCCAGGGCCACACCCTCTTGCCCTGAACTCTGCTGCCCATGGGAACCCTGAGACCCTGCAGTGCCACACCCAGGAACTCCTGCTCCTGGGGAAGAAGCTGACTTGTGATACTTCCCCTCTACGTGGGAGTGGGAGGTGACGGGGAAGGAGTTTGCTTAGCAGGCCTGGGTTCCTGAAGGCACATGTTTAGGCTGCCAAGCGTGGGTAGGGAGTTGTAGGGATGGCATCAAATGAGAAGCATCACTAGGTTTCTTCTTTCCTTTGCTGGACCACCACTCAAGGGATGGGGAAAGCCAGTCAGAGGGACCTGAAAGACTAGCAGGCCAGAATGGGACAAGGGCTTTGGGTGCTCACGAAGGGTTGGCAAGAACACCTGCTTTAAACTTCAATTAGTCTTGAGCTTGAGACTTGAGAAGTCTTTCTCCTGAAGCTGCCCAGGATCCCCTGGACAGAGGCAGATCCTTGGATTGTCAGTGAAACCAGTCAGAAAAGCCTTGGAGTCTGAGGGTGGTTTCCCAGGGATGAGGAACAAGCCTTGGGAGAGGCCAGTTCTGAAAAGTGGCACTATCACACCAGTCAGGCACAGAAGAGAAAGTTCTCCAAAATATAAAGGAAACCTTGTCCAAGGCCTCAAGTCTCTAAATGTGTGGCATTAGATGTCTAAAAACTAATTTATGTGTGGAGACAAAGAACATCCCCTAAGGAGGAGGAGGTGCCTCATCCGCTCCAGGACACTGGAAAAGCTGCACATTATACAGGTTTGGTGGCCACTTGCAGTAGGTCGGGTTCCCCAGGGCGCAACCAAGCTGAGTTAGTGCACAGGAAGCTTATAAAGGAGTGTCCTGCAGACGCGCTCCCGAGGGAGTGAGGGAAAGGAACAGAGCAGGCCGGGCTTCCTCGGAGCGCAGAGACGACAGCAGCACCCAAGGACTGAGGCCGCCACTACTCTGCCTGGCCGCAGCTCACCCCACCCTCTCTCTTTCCGCTCCACGCAACGCCCGGGGCGGGGCCTGAAGCTCGGACGCGGATTGGCGGAGAGAAAGTAGTGCAAACACTTTCGAATGAACCAATCAACGCAGTCCATCGGCCCCAGCCAATAGGAGCCCGAGAGGCGGCGGGGACCGGGCGGCCGGTGGGAGCGGCGCGCAGGGCCGTCCGGCATCGCGCGGTTGGTGGCGGCGAGCGGCGTGCGCCATGGAGGGCCGGGGCCTGGAGGAAGACGCGCTGCTGCAGAAGCTCAAGGACAGCCGCCGCCGCTTCCAGAGGCGCATGCGGGAGCTGATAGAGAAGGTGGTCCCCGCCGCTGGGTGGTGGAGGGGCGCTGGCGGGCGGGCTGGCACCTCCTCTCCCGGGTCCCGACCGTGCGGCCGGGGGACCTGACTCGAAGCCCCTTCCTCCCCGCAGTATGACCAGCCCTTCGAGGACGACCCACTGGTGCAGATGGCCACGCTGACCTACCAGACGCCCCAGGGTAGGGAACGTCCTGAGTGTTTGCGGTGGAGTGTATGAATGAACTGTGCAGACTGCGATTTGAAATGCTGTCCCCGCCCTCGTAGGAAAGTGACCCGGTTCACCATTGGGCCCGGAACATTACTCGTTCCTTTGAACGTGTATGTTATGTACTGCCAACAGGATTGCTTATCTAACTAAGCAGAATTCCTGAAGACACAAAGATTCCTCCTGTGCCCTTGCCTTCCTGGGTTGGCAATTCAGCTTAGCCATTCAGTGACTCAGGCTCTTCATCTGTAAAAGAGGAAGGATAATGACAGTCACCTACCCTTCATGGATGTGGTAGCAGTTATGCAGAACCCTTATGAGATTCTTGGAGCACCGCTGGGCACTAGTGACACTCATTAACTGTTGTTGTCAGTGTTTAACTTGGGTAGTCACATCCTCCTCAAGGTTCTGACCACTGTGCTGGAACATGCAGACGTTGTAAAATGCCTTAAGTGGATTCTCTTTGGTAAGTGACTGGAGAGCTTCTGCAGTAGATGGAGGCAGTTGCTCCCATGTGACCTTATTACCAAGTCATTTTTACCTACTAAAGAAAGCAAATCTCAGATCACATTCTGCCCAGCACTAGACAGACAGGCACAAAAGGTTCTTAAAACTGCTGCTGAAATCAAGAGAAATCCTCGTTCTCTGCCTTTTTAGCTGAACCAGTCACACATTCAGTGAAAAATTTACCCAGGCAGAAACTAAAATATTCCAGCAGCAAATTTCTTTTACTTTCTGGTCTGGCAGGACATGACCTAAGGGTCTGTTTGTTGGCATCACTGTCTTCATATGGCAAGGACAGGGAGCATCTGCAGTGTTTTGAACAATGTATGTATCTTAAGTGCCACAGATTTTGCCAGTGAGAACTTTGGGTGTCAGTTTGGGGAGAACAGTGGATAAAGCACCCCAACACCTTGGGAACAGGCACACTTGACCATGTAGACGCCACCTAAAGAGCTGGCTAATGCACAGGCTCCTGCCACTACCAGCCAAGGTACTGGGTGCCAGTTCAGTAGATCTGTGTGTTACAAGCTCATGGCTCGTGCTCCTGGCCCGGGGCCCCTGTCTTGGTGCTTCTCATAAGATAATTAGTAGCATGGCCTTTTCTTAAATGCATGGTAATGTGAATTGCCAGCTTAAGGCAGCACCACAAAGGGGAGAGTAAAACTAACTCTGGCACCTATTGTGACGAAGACAGCAGGGGGCAGTGTATTGATTGCTTATCCCATACCCTGCTCTCCTAAGCCTCTCATACTGATTCTCCACCCTGCAAGGTAGGCACCACTGTTGGAATCATCACAATTAAATGTGGATACAGTACAGAAAGGTTAAGTAACTTGTGCCATGTCACTTAACCAAAGTGTGAAACTTGATAACTCTGAGCCCATGTGTGCAAGCATCACTTTGCTCTGGAAAGGCCCTGTGGCCTAGTGGTCAAGAGTGCAGGATCAGTGCTGCCCAGAGTTCACATTCTGGCTCCATGGGCAGGTGGCCTGGACTAGTATTTGAACTTTGCTTTGCCCACATTTATCTGTACAATGACTGTGGTAAGTCCCTGTCCCACAGATGTCAGGAGAACTGTACAAGTTATGTGTGGGTGGGTAGTTGTGAATTGTAAATATGGCATTCTTGAAAAGGATTTAGAATAAACCTGAAGCATTGTGAGCATTATGTAAGTTTTTGCTGCTGTTATTAACAACTATCTCAAGTTTCTCCCATTCCTTATTAATTTGAATTTCCCCCAGCAAGTTTAGGGAGACCTTGAGTATATGGCCCAGGTTCTCCAAGTTGGTAGGTGGCAGGACAGAACTCATTGTTGGCCCTTTGCATGGGCTTGCTTTGTAGGTACAAGCACTTACTCTGAGTTATGTAGAAATGCTCTCAAAAAGTGCTTATGCTGCCAGGCATGGTGGCACATACCTATAATCCCAGCAACTCAGGAGGCTGAAGCACAATGATGCCAAGTTTGAGACCAGCTTCAGCAACTTGACAAGACCCTGTCTCAAAATAAAACTAGAAGGGGCTGGGAATATGGCTCTGTGGTTAAGTTGTCCCTGGGTTCAACCCCTAGTACCAAAAAAAAGGAAAAGAAAAATGCTTACTCTAAATACAGTATATGTGTTGCCCTTAGTACATGTATATTTTAAGGATAAGGACACTACCTGGCATATGTATGTTCCTCTTTTCATTCAACTTTACAGTTTAGTGTAATTTAGTGAACTGCTGCCCATTAGGTAGGGGAGGTTTCCATTACGACAGAGCTGTCTGTTCAACTTAAAGGCTAGCAACGGACTATTGGGATCCTGGCTCACTTTTAATGTCATATCCTTTTTGCATCTGACACTGGCTTTCTATGAAAACACGTTGAGCAGAAATTCAGTGTTGAGGATTAAACAGTTATTTTTGTTTCTTCTCTAAAGGATTGAAAATTTGGGGAGGAAAACTAATAGCGGAAGGAAGCGAAGGACTAATCCAGGTAGGTAATGTCAGTGGTGGCCCCGCATTTCCTTGCCTCACTGCACCGTTCTGCTTTTGAGGATTTACTGAGAAGCATTTCTTCGTTGCTTGTCGGGCAAGGAGCAGCCACGTGATGTCTAGCTCTTTTTTATGCCTTGCATTTCCTGTCAGAAGTTGCAGGCTCAGGTGCAGAGGCTGGGCCAGCTCAATGCCCTCTCACAGGCCATGCCATCCTAACCCGGAGCTCACTTGCTGGGTCCTCGTGGAAGAGACCCAATCCAGTCCCTTCTGGGGGAGGGAGAGATGAGAGGAAGGGGAGTGTGCAGGCTTCATGCCCGCCACCTTCCCCGCAGCCCTGGGGCTCTGTGATCTCTCCTGTGCCCAGAGAGTTTGCTTTCGTCCTGTGAGACCCCGGGAGCCTTTTGCCCCAGTAGCTTTGCAAGGTTGTCTGGTGTTCCATTAATTGTGCTTCTTAGACACCTCACGTTCCTCCTCAAGGTCACAGGTCAGGGAACCCATGTACCCAAGAATGAACACATCCTCCTGCTCTGAGGATACACAGCATTAATAGCAGTTCTTAAATGAAACCACCTTTTTGATTAATTTTAGTCATAGAAATGATGAAAATACACAGAACTGCTGAAAATTAGTCTGACCTCTGTGCTGCAATGGTCGCTGATGCCATTTTAGTTTAATGTAAATTGTCTGTAGCACACGTTTATAAATACACATTGTTTTTACTCTCACTTTCCTGGTTAATAGACATGAGGACCCCTGTCTTCATCGTCCGTCCTGCAGTTCAGCCAGCAATTGTAACTGTCTCCTGTTGACGGGCCCTAGCCCTCTCACGGCCCTTGACTCTCTATCAGTCAGGGTTGGTATGCTTTCTCTGAAAGACCGGATGTGAATATTTGAGGCCTTGCTGGCTATATGTCTGCGTAAACTTCTCAGCCCTTTTATAGGGGAGGCAGCTTGGATGATATGAGCCCCCATTAATAAAATGAGCTCTATTAATAAAACCCCTGCTGTGTAGTTCCCAGAGGAATATCCTGGTCCTAATTTCCCCAGTATGATGTCCCCTCACCCCTTTTTTAGTCAATGCCCACATATAGGAGGTCAAAGGATCTGTTCTCTTTAAATTATACATACAGAGGCAACTACTTAATCAGACCAGTGCTGGATGGTCCTGGTAGCAAATTGCTTATCTGAATATTTAGGCTTTTGCTTAAAATGCAGGAGGACCCCTGCCTGGGACCCAAAGAATTGCTGAGCTTAGAAAAGTGGGGCTAGAGAAGTGGGCATAGTTGTGATTATAGCATGGACCCCACAGCCTCACTAGATGTTGGTGACTGTGCCCAAATCCACCTTAAACTTCTCCCCCAAAACCAAATGCTCATGCTGCTCCCACGGACCCTGGAGACTGTGCATCTCCCTGAGCCAGTTTGAGCATAACCTAAGGCTTGGGTTCTCTCTGGAGATGCCAGCGCTGCCAAGCAGGGATTGGTAAGGGCTGGCTGCTTCCCAAACTAGTTTTACTACCCTTTAGACCCAGGCAGCCACAAAACCTAGCTCTGAAAAGCCACACCAAGTCCCACCTGTGTGAGATGTTACTGGGAGGCAAAGGCAGTGGTCTCCAGGAAGTGCGTTCAGTTGCTGTGCAGTGCTCACAAGATCCTCACGTCCCCTGGACCCACAGAGGTGCCTGAGGACCATTCCTACAGGGACAGTGCTCCCCATGGGAATTCCTGAAATATTTTAGCCAGTCTAATATGTCGAATGCTCACGTTTCACTGGTGAGAACTGGCTGATGTCACTGGTATAGAGCAGGCTCCAGAGGGCAGAAACGCCTCCCCAGGAGCGTGACCAGCTGATCACCTGTGGCCTGAACTCCTGGTCAGGAGCTCGCTACACCACATTGTAAAGGTCCTAAAACCACTTCTGGGCATTTACTGAGAACGTGGGCCACCACCGTTTCTGGATTCTCCCCATTGACCAGGTGACGATTTTGTTCTGTTTCACTTCGGCTTTTTGTTTGCTGCAGTCCCTGTGGAACCCTGTGTGGGCTGGGACCAGGTCGCTCCAGGACAGAGCTAACCTCCCCCTCAAGGGGACTTAGAGCAGCCCTGGGGCTAGCTGAGGAAGAAGGCGGGCTGCTTTCCAGCAGGGGTCCTCCCCTGCCTTTGGGAGACTCTAGGCCCTTGATGAAGCAAAGGTGTAAGAAGCCGGAGGAGCTCCGGCTCCCTGTGTTCAAGAACAGATGCAGGTTTGTCACTTCACGGTGACTTTCAGATGTGCCATTGCTCAAGTAAGCTTGTCTCTGCTGACTTTTGTACCACTAGTACCCCCTTGGGAAGCCAGAGGACAGGATGGAAGACCCTGGGTATGCCGCAGCCCGAGGTGACGAGCCTGTGCCTTTGTGCACCCTAGTCCTGGGAGCCGGTGAGTGCCACCCCTTAGGAAAGGAGCCGGGAGGAGCTGGCCAACCTGGGTCTCTGTCACAGCAGTTCAAGGATGAAGTTCTTTGGGGGGGGGGGGGGGTGCGGGTTCCTAAGGGGTATTTTAAAAACTAAGGTCATCTTGAAGTGCCCTGTCATGTCCTTCTGAAGTCCCTGGAGGGTAGGCCCTGTCCTTATATATCCATGGTGCCCGGCACAGAAAACACTCAGATATTTCTTATATAAATGAACACCCCACCCCCACCCCAGTCTAAGATATATTACATCAGGATTTGACAAGACCTAAGATCAGGATGGTCGTGAACATTTGCTTCTGTCAACCGTCAGTCTTCCCCAGGCCATCTCACTGCCTGGACCCAGCCCTGCCCCCCTCTTTTCTCCTACCTTCAGCCTGCCCTCTGGGCTACATGTCCCGTCCACATTTAAGGGTGGTCAGATTTCGCCTTCCACATGTGGAACATGCCTGTGACTCTCCACTGTCCTGTCCCTGCCTGGCCACCTCCCTCCCTCAGTCCCTTTACAACCCAATTCCAGGAGGTGCACCTTACCCTCCCTGGTCCCCCACCTGAGCATGCCTCACCTGGTGCCCTCTGGCTTGGGCTCCATCTCTGCAGCCTCCCTCTGGGAGGGCTTCTAGGCCACCCTGTTGCTGGGCCTACCTTGTACCTGTTCCCCCCCCCGCAGCATGTGAAGATTCGGAAAGTTCTGGCCTTGGCCTCTGCACACTGCTCTTCAGTTCCCTCCTGTGTGTCCTCTGGCCTGCTGCTGGCTTACCTGCTGGCCCTTCAGGATGCCCTTTCTCAGGGTTGGTCTGAAGCCCCTGTGCACTTATCAGGCCTGGCTTTGCCCCCAGCCCAGACCCCTTCCGGTGCATCTTACTGCTGGGGACCTCTCTCCATAAACACGTCCTGTCTACATTGGCACTTCCACAGCGCAGCAGACCTGCCCTCCAAGGTCCACCTTCCTCCCCTTCCAGCATGAGCCAGAATCCAGGGTCCTCTTCTCAGCCTCCCCCTCTTTCCTCAAGTCCAAGGCTGTCCTGGGTCTGTCACCTCCTGTCCTCTCTCAGGCCCACTGCCCCACCCTCCTGGCCCTTAGCGCCAGCTCCTGTCCCCTTCTGGGCTCCCCCACCCTGGATATGCAAGGAATTCTGGTCAAGCCACTTCTGTCTGAAGCACTGTGGTGGCTTCCCACTGTGCTGTGGGAAGAGGCCAGGATCCAGAGTGAGACCTGAAGCCCTGCCTGACCTGCCTGCACCACATCCTCCCCGCTGACCCCCACTGCAGCTCAGCTTTATGCTTGGTCTCCTCCTTACAGCCCTGGAATGTTTCCAACTCTTGTCTCTCCCTCCAACACTGGTCCTTCAGAGCTCCATCCCCTCACCCAGCCCTTCCCTGGCACCTTGCCCCCAGTGGACAGTCAGTGATCTGTGCTGAGCCACTAAAGGGAAAACTGGTTTTTCAAAGTCAAAGTACAAAACTAATGGAGATTTTGGTCTTGAGTGTCGTTAACTAGTGTTAGATCAAATTCTAATTAAGTTTAAAGTCAGGCCGGGCGTGGTGGTTCACACCTGTAATCCCAGCAGCTTGGGAGGCTGAGGCAAGAGGGTTGTGAGTTCAGAGCCAGCCTCAGCAATAATGGAGGCACTAAGCAGCTCAGTGAGACCCTGTCTCTAAATAAATACAAAATAGGGCTGGGGATGTGGCTCAGTGGTCGAATGGTCGAATGCCCTTGAGTTCAATCCCTGGTACCCCCCCCCCCCAAAAAAAAAAAGAATCTTAAAGTCCGTTCTCAGTCCTGCTCCTCACATCCCACTGTTCAGTAGCTGGTGTGGCTTGCAGCTGACTGAACAGCAGGTGGAGACCCTCCATCATCACAGGAGCTCCATGGGACAGTGCTGAGCAAGGGTCACAACTGTCAGTCGGAGGCCACTGGAGCCTCTGGTGATAGAACACACTCAGAGTGTTACGAAACCATCCTGAGAGGGATGGGCAAGCTTTCCCAAGAATCCTGATTGCGATTCCTTTTTCACTTTTAGATCCAGGAAGCAGCAATGCCAGAGCAGGGTTGGACCCAGGCAGTCCTCTGGCCCAGGCCTTGGTGGTAAGGGCCGCCTCGGGATGGGTGGCGGTGGGGGGCTTCAGGTGCACTCTCATCTCGTGCAGGCAGACCCAGGTGGCCCTGGGCAGTGTTCCCCAAGTCCTCTGGGCTCATTCTTACCACTGCCACCTCTTAGGTCTTGGTTCTCTCTTTGGGTCTCCTCAGCCTGGCACTTGACAGCCAGTGTGGCTCCGTTCTGGACTGACCTCTGAACTTAGACAATGGTGAAGAATTTGGGGACTTTCTCTCTGCAGCCAGAACTGTCACCAGGCTGGTTCATGGCATGCTGAGTGCCTTGACTAACTAAGAGACATTATGAGTCGGGTTCCGGGTCAGCCCTTGAGCCCGTTTAGTCACAAGGTCACACAGTCAGGTGGCTGAAGCTAGCCTGAAGAGTAAGGCTCATGTGTGTTCCTGGCCCCGAGTGCCCCAAGGGCACAGAGCTATCTCCTCCGTGTGGCCTGGTTCTTTCCTTCCTGCCTATCTGGATGGGCAGCTCAGTCTGCCCCGTACCCCTCCTGGCCCTTGGGTCCCCTGTGTCATATGCTGCCAGATATGAGAGCAACTGTACCTGCTTCCCTCTAAACCTCCTTTGGGGCAGGGGTGGCAGTGACCCCGGGAACTTCCCAGGACTGTAGCAGGCACGGCCCCTGGACAGACCCTGGGTGCAGCCTTCCCTGTGGTCCTTCCCATCTGTCTGAGACCCCAGTTTGGCTGCACCAGGTGTGGAGAGGTCCTGAGCTGGATCCTGGGCCTCTCTTGTCAGCCCGCAGCTATCAGTTCCTGATAGTCCTGAGCCTTCCAGGAATGTTCAGGTTGCCTTAAGGTGTTTTCTCTTCTAGTAAAGCTGCCATAAACACCTCCCAGCTTTTATGTTCTGGATCTTTTTACTTTATTTTTGGTAGTTAAGCCCAGGGCCCAGCAGTTTTTCAGAGGGGCGTGGCCACTTTGCACTGCTAACAGCAGCAGGCACAGGCTGACTCTGAGTAGCTTCATTTAGAGATCTGCATTAACGAGCGCGTTAGTTTGCTCCAGAATTCATGACAGCAGTGCCCAGCAGCTCTTAGGATACTGACTTCTCTTTGTAATCAGCCTTCAGTGCCTTGGAGCCCTCTGAAAAATGAGTTAAGAAGGAAATATCTGACCCAGGTGGATGCACTGCTTCAAGACGCAGGGTGTTTTGAGGTACTGTCTCCGTGTGTGTGTGTGTGTGTGTGTGTGTGTGTGTGTGTGTGTGTGTAGTAGGTACATTGAGGAGTTTTTCTGTACTTTACACAGAGCTTGTGAAGAGTGTTGTGCATGATGATTTCCAGACCCTTCTGTTCCCATGATACTGTGTCTGTGCTCTGAATTAACACTAGGTTGCCCCTCGGCAGCACCATCAGGGGAACTTGCAGGGTTAGAGGGTGGACTCCATCGCCCCCGCCCCTGTCCTGGGGCAACCCACAAACCTAGTGAAGCCATGGGTGGGACTCTCCAAGGGCCTCCACCTCACTCCCTGGTGTGACTGGGGTTGGGATCAGCAGCAAGGTGAGCGGCATTCCCTCGTCCTCAACCTGTCCTGCCTGGTCTGAGGTCATGTTGGAGTGAGGCAGTATGGGGGCCCTTTGGCGGGATAAGAGGTGGGCTGCCTTGCAGCCCCGTCCCAGGATGGTGCAGTGCTCCAGGGCGGCTGCTTCTCAGTTTCACTTGGAAGAAGAGCCCAAGCTCAGGTGGAGGTTCGCCTAAGGGCGCCACCTCTTTAGCTCCCCCTGTTGCATCAGATCCTTCAGAAAGCGGAGGACGCTCTAGTACCACCGGAGTGCGCGGTGCACAGTGGAGAACAGCGCGCCTGCAGAGGCCACAGCTTCACACGTCACTGTGCTGGTGACAGGGGCCCTGGCCTAGTGATACATGCATAACACCCTGCCCCCCACATGGCCCAGTGGGTGTCGTTCTCTTGGTGCTGTGCTGATTAGAGGCAGGGACTGGAATTGGGCCCAGGGTGATTGAGCTCTGCCCACTGTCCCTCTGGTCCCCCGACATTCTGACTGTCCACAGGAATGGCGAGTGAAGAGAGGCCGGCAGATCCCCAGGCAGGCGAGGGTGGCTGGCCTGAGGGCAGAGACCCAGGTCCTCTGGGACACTCCTCCCTCCTGCCCAGAGCCCACAGGCTCACTTGCTTGTGCTGCCTGCTGGATGCAGGGTTACTCCTGGCGTGCCTTTGCTCTCTTGTCAGGGACAGCACCTGGGGTCTCAGTACCCGGTGGCTCTCTTGTAATCATCAGCTTTGATTTCAGGGCACAGATAAGAGAGGCACCTCAGACACACCCATGACTCCCGTGCCTTCCCTGGCCTCTCCTGCCATGCCTGGCCCCGGTAAGTGTGACATAGAATCATCCCTGAGCCACGTGTTTTATTGGAGCCCTAGGGCAGCTCAGCGCCACTCAGGTGGGACGCGTTGCTCATTGCCAGCACGTTCCGTCAGCAGGAGCTCAGATACCTGCACCTCGTGGGAATTAAGATCTTTTCAGATGACCTCATTCCCTGAGCATGTGTGGCCTGGTGGCTGCTCCGAGCTCTGCACCCTCTTGACTGGGTTGAGCAGTCTGGGATCTGCAGGAGCACAGGAGGGGCACGGTGAGCATCCTTCCGCACTGCACGGCCTGCCTCAGTGCCCTCCACACACGCATGCGCACACACTGCACACGTGCAGGTCCGTGTGTATCGTCCCTCAGGGCTCCCTGTCTCCGGAGCACAGAGGGTTCTCCATGACCACAGTGAGTAGCACATGACAGAAACATGGCGTGTCAAGGGCGGTTCACCGACGAGCCAGTGACGTCCTCCACAGCCTTCCGTGGCCCACGGTGGAGAGCCCACTGGCCTCGCCCACTGGTCTGGCTGTCGCGTGCAGGCCAGAGCGGCTCCTGGTCTTCATGTTGCCCCTCTCATCTCTCATGTGTGGCCTTGTCTTAAACAGTCCCGACATCCCTCCCTCTAGACCTGTCTGTTGCCGCCTCGTGGTTGTCCTCACGGTAAGCCTCCTGGCATAAGTACAAGCGCGTGACGCTGTGTCCTCTGGGACATTCCGTCCGCCTCTCCGTTGCTGGTGACTTCTGACCTGGTCCTTTAGTCAAGGACTTCTCACTGCACTTCTCCTTGGGTCCCCAGCAGGTGAGCCTTTGGGATGGCCCAGGAGCCTTTTCCCTAAGACCGTTCACTGGTGGTTTGGGCGTCCAGTAGGGGGACCGCCTGAGGTGCTGGGAACGGTGGACCCCTTCCAGCCCTGCCATTCAGTGACGGCCTCTGGCCTCTGTCTGGTATTCTCTAACGGACAGCTGGCTCCCCGTCCAGTTCCTTTTTTTTTTTTTTTTTAATTATTGCTCCTAGAATCAGAAGCACAGCCACCTTTTAAGTCCACGCTGGAGCCTTTACTTCCCCTGATGCTCACGCAGCCCCGCCTGCACCCTTCCTGGCTCACCAGCCCTCTGGCACGTCCCATCCGTTTTGAGCTCCATCACCTTCACCCTGAGGCTGCTTCCCCTCTCTCCTGGTCACCTCCAGCCCCGTAATATGTTCACTCATCCAGTACCAACTAGCCTCAGGATGGTGGCAGCCGCAGCCAGCTCTTTTGGCCCTTGGACAGTGTCCCCCAAGGGAAGCGCGCAGGGTGCTGTGCCCACTTGGATCTTTGTTTCCCATCCCACCACCAGCTTGGTGCACAGCTTCTATTTTTTTCTGTTTCTATTTGTAGAGTTTTCCTCATTTTCATAGGTTTAATTTTATTTTTCAAATAAACCTTTCACACAACGCGAAAGCAAAGCTGTGTAAAGCAGCGAGTACAGGGGCCTTACTCAGGTCCCGCATGTCCCCGTGGGTAGACTTGTATTTTCTGGTTTCTGGTTTCTAATACACTTTCAAAAAGGCAACCATCTTCGAAATAGCCTGAGGGGAGAGAATTCCTGAGGGTGGGGTGGAGAGCAGAAATGGATTTAGGAGTTAAAAAGAAATCTGAGAAGCTATTTCTAATCCTTTGTAGTTTTTTGTATCATTTTGAAAACGTGGTCATGGTCCGCCCTTGAGCTCCATGCCCTGAGTGTGGGGTGGCTTTGAACACTGACACCCTTGACTCTTCTTCCCCAGGTCCCTGTGGAAGTGTCTCTGCAGAGAGCCCTGGTGACCCTATGGAGCTGACTCCCTCCCCCAGAGAGTTGGATCCGTTGTGTCCTTGCCCAGCAGACCTGGCCACAGCATCTAGAAATGACAGTCTGTCACTGCTAGGGACCAGCAGCTGCATGAGCAGCCAGTCCTTCGAGGCGGATGACATCTGCGATGTGACGATCAGTGACTTGTACGCGGGTATGCTGCACTCCATGAGCCGGCTGCTGAGCACGAAGCCCTCGAGCATCATCTCCACCAAGACCTTCACCCTCCAGAGCTGGAGATCCAGGAGGAGGCACGTGCGCAGGGGCAGGGTGCTGGTGAGCGAGCGGCACTGTGCCAGGGCTCGGTGTTCCCGGAGGGGCTCCCGGGAGAGGCCTGCACCCTGCTCAGAGCCCAGGCAAGAGGCAGGACCCCTAAGAGACTGTAAGAACTTACTGCATGTCGCCCAGCATGAGCCATCTTCAAAACTGGACAGAGCTTTTCTTGTGGGAAACAAAGCCCAGAGCCTTAAATTAGATCCACGTTGGAAGGAACTTCAGGTGACACCCTGGAAGCATTCTTCCTTGACTTTAGACCTCAACACAGTGCATTATCCTGACCAGGAAAATAGACTTAGGATGCTAAAGTGGTTGATTTCTCCTGTAAAAATAGTTTCTAGACCAAAAATGTTGCCCAGCCCAGCAGAGAATCGATACAGGGAGATTGAAATAAAATTTAACAAGCTTCATCAAGAATGTTGCCCAAGTGTTGGGAAACGAGCTTCCCCAGATGGCTTTTCGGGCTCCTGGGCCATGGGTGTGTACAGAGGTGGTTCTGTGAGCCCACGTGGCCTCGGGGGCTTAAAAACCCTCAGGCGGAGTTTGCCTTTCAGCAAAGCAAAACCGAAGGGGCTAAGTGAGGCCTTTGAAAACCTGAGCAAAAGATGTGTGGAAGTAGGTAGAGGCCCACCAGAGAGCGACGCCTCTCCATCTCTTCCCAAGAGCCGCGGCCACTCTTGGCAGACATCTGGCCTCCTTCAGGGACACAGTTCTGGAACATTCAGAAAGGCATGGTCACCCCGCCAAGCTATTTCAGTACCTAGGGTAGAACCTCTGGCCTGTGAGAGAAATCGCTACAATGAAATTAAAGAAAACTTTGACCAGCTTCATCAGGAGTATTGCCAGAGGTCGCCTCGGCAGGCGCTGCAGGCAAAGGCGCCTGTCCCGCTTGGAGTGTCTCCAGATAAAGCTGATGTAGGAGTTCAGAGCCAAACCCAAGAGCTCTTCGGAAAGTCAAATCGAGACTCTGTCTTCCAGAAACTGTCACCGTCACCGCAGTGGCACATGCGAAGTCCACAGGGCTCACCTGCAGCTGAGGCTCATCCATCTGCTCACTCTGCTCATGGTACCAGGAGGGACCCTCAGTTCCCTGCAAAAAGACACAGGCTGTCAGACCCCCAGGCGCGTGGACACCGGGCCAGTTTCCAGGATTCCTCAGAGGTGGATGAAGCTGACCCCAGACCAGGGGAGCAGGGTGGCCCCCCACAGGCCAGCTGGTGAGGAGGAGCATTTCCACCTGTGGGGTGCAGTTCCTGCCAGCAGGTACTTTTCCTCTGCGGTGCAGAGGAGCGAAGCCACGGCAAGCCAGGTGCCACGGAGCATCCCGACCTTGGCCGCTCCTCCTGACCGGTCCCTGCAGGACTGTGAATGGGTTATCCAGGTGCCGTCTCCCAGACCGTCTGCTTCCTTTAAAGTCAGCATTGATAGCAAGGATGTGTGTGTGGGAGAGGCTTCAAGATGGAGCTGCAAGTGTTTGGAAGGAAGGGGGTCCTGTGTCTTCACTGGAATGCCCTCACTGCTGCTGTCTGTCCATCTGTCCGTGTCGACACTCAGAAAACAATTGTTGGAAGGTGAAACTGATCTGGGAATGGTGACCTCTGTCCCCTTCCCAGCTCCTCGGAGGGCCAGCAGCATCCAGGTTCCCACGCCTGCCCTCCTGGCTCCCAGCTCTGGGCCCCTCAGCCACAGCTGGCCCCTACTGTACCCTTTTCTTTCCCCATCCTGGGTCAGGGAGCAGGCGGGGTGGACGGGCCAGCGTGACGAGGTGCCAGGTCTTCAGTGGGATCCGTGTGTCCTCAGTTGGGCTCCAGGTGGCATGGCTCACCTGAGTGACTGCGGTCACTTGTCCCCACTGGCCGACAGATGTGGGCTGAGTTGGGCTCTGGGTTTGATGGTAGCTTGGGCAGGCAAGGTGAGGCCGTGTCTGCAGCCTCCTGTTCTTGTTTGTCCCCTGCTGAGGTCAGACCCCCTTGGGGGTCAGTTGATGGGCCCTTCCTACCACAGTTACCTCCTTTTCTGTTTTTCCCACCTCTGCCAGTCCAGCCGAGGACCCTTCCCAGCAGCTCACTCCTGCCACTCCTGCATCTGGCTGGTTCTAGAAACCACCAGAGCCCCCGTGTGCCCTCTCCCCATTCCCCTGTCCTCCCAGGGTCACCCAGCCAGGCTCTGCCATGACAGGGTCCTCCCTCTCCTTCCCAGGGAGCTCCTCACTGCCACCCCCTCCCACTCCTCACTTGTTTCTTGTACGTCTCCGTCTGGGCCGCCCTGCTGCCTCCCTGGGCAGGCGCGCCCAGCTGAGGAGGAAGCCGTCTGCACAGGCGCCCCACAGGCCCGGCACAGCGGCGGGATCCTTCTGGCCAGTTGCGTTTTGTCTTGCTGATGTGAAGTCCTAGGAGTGAGCAGCCAGGGCGGAGCACACGCCTGCCTGGCCTCTTCCCAGGGAAGACCTACCAGGTGAAAGCACCCGTCCCCAGGGGGAGCCTCTGGTGGGACCAGGAGGGCTAGGGGTGGCGCAGGAGCCAGGCCTCTGGGAGGCCAGAACTGGAGAGCAGCCGCCCAGTGCCCTGTGGACAGTGTCCTCCATCTGCCTGTCCCAGCAGTGCCTGGCCACCAGCACAGTTGTTCCTGGGTCTTGGTCTGTTTGCTCACCTCCCCCATCCAGGGCCCATGTGGCTTTCGCAGGCCAGGCCACCACCGGGGGACCTTCAGCTACAGTTCAGTGAGGCCTTAGAGCTCACTGGACATTCCGGGGGGGTGGCCTTGAAGAGATGCTCCTGTGTTGGGTCACTTAGGAAAACCTGAGTTCTTGGCAGAAAGGGAGCATTTCACCAAAGAGATCCTCGGCCCAGAGCCGTCCCTGAGGTCTCTCCTGGCCGCCTGCACATCACAGGTCCCTGATCCGCTATCCCTCCGGTCTAAACCTGAATGACTGCTTTTCAAGTAGTCCCCTCCCCCGCCCATGCCTTTGACCCTGGCCCCAGGACTCTCCTTAGCCTTTTTCTGGCCTCCCCAGCTGTCCTGTGGCCCCAGAATACAGCCTGACTCTCCTGCCCCACCTTGGCCTCAGCTCCTCCCTCTCCATGGGAAATCTTGCCTGGCCAAGTAGAGGGAACCTCAGCCTCACAGAATGGTGCGAAGTCCCCAGCAGGAGCAGGTGCCCCACTTTGGCATGGGACTCTGCCCTCAGTGCCCAGTGCGGCCCTCACAGCTCCCCGCAGGTGATGGTAGGTGAGTGTGGCGACACCACTAGCCCACAGTGTGCGTATGTTTCCCCCGTCCCTGCTCGAGGTGTCCACCTCTCGGGCAGTGCCCAGATCTCCACAAGTGCGGCTGCAAGGGAACAGTCGCTGGCTAGCAGCAAGGGCCTGCCTCAGTGCCCACAGGACCCTTTGACCAGGCAGGCTGTCTCCTTATAAGTGAGGAGTGTGGCCTGAAGACTCCCCGCAGGCCTTGCTGGTGAGGTACACTGCCTGCTGGGTTGTTCTGTAAGTAGACCTGCCTTGGGGTTACGTACCGGGGCATTTTCTGTAGTAGATGCAGTATTTCCTCACGTGCAGTGGGGCTCGAAACTGGCTGCAGCGGGGGTCATCGTAGGGTGTCACCTTGTTTTTTTCCTAGGGGAAAGAACATCTTTCAGGATAGAGGGGAATAGTGGTTTTGTTAGAGATATTTAGAGCTGAGGCTACCCTGGAGCATAGTTCCTCTCCCTCGTGCTCTGTTTTGTAGGGCTGGGGTGGAATCCAGGGCCACACACGTGCCAGGCAAGTGCTCAACCACTGAGCTGCGACCCTGCCCTTAAAGACCGGTCTCAGTCGCTATGCCAGTTAACCCTGGTGAGCCTGTTCTGTTTTCTTTTTTTAATGTAGACACAAATCTGTTTTGTTAGACCATCATTTGTTTATGAAACCTATATTTCAACCCTGGATACAGCAATCCTTGATCTTTCGAGTACAAACTAAAACATAATTGGCCCATAAAAAGCAGTTCTTGGCATCCTGCTGGTTTTAGGTGGAGGTGTGTTGTCTTTGAACTGTCCCGTGTTAACCCCACCCCTGCACCCCACAGCACCCAGTGCCGTGTTTCTTTGAGATGATTTATAATAGGTTATCACAGGGACATTTTATTGAAATATTTCAAACATTCAAAATCCAGTGGTGAAACCTGGAGTGATGACGGTTGATGTGTGTTACTGCTGATGTGTGTTAAGGACGTATTCTCAATAAAAGATGAAAGACAAGGTTAAGTCACCTTTCCTTCCTGTCCCCGCTCACTGATGATCCTCACATTGCCGTGTCTCTTTTCCACGCCTGTCTTCAGCTGGGACCGCATGCACACTGCGCTTGTCGTCTTGGGCTGGGCAGCTTAGACAACGGGTGTATTTTGCCATCTGGAGATGAAGTCCAGGGCAGGGTGCCAACACATCCAGGTTCTGGTGAGGACGCCCTGGCCCATTGTTGGGGGCAGGAAGAGAGGTCTCTGCTGTCTCTTATGAGGACTTACCATTCTGCCCCCCCCCACCCCGTGACTCACCCAAGCCTCATTACCTCCCCAAGTCCCATGTCCACACACCCTCACCGTCTGGGTTGGAGGGTCGGGTTGGTCCACAGCACTGAACCAGTGCAGGTGGCCGGCACTGCGTGTGGCTGATACCTGGCCCCTCACGGGAGGCTCCCCTTTCCCTCAGAGCAGGCTGGCAGCAGTGCTGGTGCAGGCTCGGCCAGGGCAGGCTGGCCTCCACAGTCCCAGACCTTTCCCTCAGGTCTGCTGCTCCTGAGGACACAGCTCACTCCCCTCCATCAGGAAGACTCGCCCTCACCCGGACCGCCCAGGCCTCACTTGCCCTCGGCCCCTCAGGCACAGCAGCCATGCTGAGCTCTGCAGGCCGGGCCAGGCTGGCCGCCAGGTGTCAGCGTTCTGTCCCTGGGAGGAGGGTGGAGTAGAAGGGGTTTGGGGGGGAGTCAGCCAGTTCAGAGCATCAGCCAACACAGGACCCACAAGCAGATGTGGCCTCTGCTTTCAACCTTCACTCACATAATTGACTATTGTGTCGTCTGCAGCGTTTTTCACCAAGTGATAGTTTCCATTTGACAAGAGCTGACGTGGGTGCTATGGCTTAAAATGTGTCTCCCAAAGGATCAGGGGTTGGAATTGTCCCCAGGGTGGTGGTAATGGAAGTGGTATGGGGTCAAGCAGGAGGTACTTGGGTCAAGTTGGGGTTCTGCCCTCCAAGGATTAAGGAATTTCTTATGGGCCCCTGGTTTCCCTGAGACTGATCCCACCTGACCTCCCCTTTTCAAGATGTCATTCCTCCCACACACTCTATCCACCATGAGATCCTCACCAGAGCCCAGCTAATGCTGGTGCCCGGCCCTTGAACCTCCAAAACAGAGTCAAACTTTTTTTTTAGCCTGCCTCAGTTATTTCGTGATAGTAACACAAAACTGACTGAGCATTGGCCTCTCCATCGGCCTCCTGCAGGAAGACTCGGCCTTGTGGTCCTGTGGTCCTTGTGCACAACTGCAAACCTGTCTGCACACACCTAGAGGCACACTCAGGAATGGCTATGCCTTGGTCTCCTCAGATTGCCTTCCCAAGGGGCTTTCCAGTTTGTGACCTGTCCAGCGGTAGGAGAGGCCCATTCCCCATGTCACTGCTGCCCACAGATACTGACAGCCTCTGAGGTTAGTGGTGACAGTGAGTTATGGCACCACACAGTCGGCTTGGCTTTGTCTTGATGGCCTGGGGTTGAGCTTGTCTTCCTGGGGTCCCGACTTTTCCACCACCCCTCTCAGGACACTGCTGTGTTGCCTCGGTTTGATTCAGGAGTATTCTAGATCCAAGTACACGAACCAGCCCAGTTTGATGTGACGTGGAAGTCACTTCTCCCACCCCTTTTCCTGTATTTTATTGTACAGAAGTTACCCTTGACCATGGTCCGAGAGCTCAGCCCTTTACTTTTTCTTCTCTGCCATTCGTGAGCAGCTTCCTCACTTGGTGGAAGGAAAGCAGCTCTGCTTACAGAACAGCTGGAGACCACTGTCCTAGAGAGGCCCATAGGGAAGGGCTGGCCCTTTGGGCTCTCGGCTGACCTGTGGTGCACCCCGCAGTGCTCAACGGGGGCTTGAAGGGTGGGTGTGGAAGTCCTGTTTGCCTGCTCTGGGGACAACTCTGTTGACCACCCAAGCGCAGGAGAGTCTCTCCTTACTCTCCTCCCTTCTCCCCTCTCCGTGTTTCTCAGACACTGGGCTGATTTCTCCTTTTCAACCCCCGGCCAAATTCCGTTCCAGGCCTCACTGGGCTCCCGTTCGACGAGCCCAGGCCACAGGACAAGTGAGGGGGCCTGGGATAAAGATCATGTCCTCTCCAGGGCTGCTGCAGCACTCCGCCCTGGCCCAGCCCTCCTCTCAGTGCTGTGCTACCACGAGCTGGACACCCCACCAAAGGCCTGGGGTCCCCGGGAGCAGAGGCTGGACAAGCCAGCCTCCCTGGCCGCTGGGCAGCACCCGGTGTGGTCCTTTTGGGTGGAGGGGCTGTCTGACCCGTGTCAGGGAAAGTGAGAAAGACAGGGCTCGTTAGGGTTGAAGTTTCTGTTGCACCCCCACAACTCACCGTCTGGAGTCCACACCCCAAATGGCAATGGGGGCTTATTTCAATAGAAGAAAATACACTGAGTACAAGGTTTATCTTGAAAACTAAATTTTAAACTGTTTGCTTTGCTGTGCGAGGATTCCATGCTCCAAGGAGGCAGCTTCCAGTTCCGTGGGAACCTTAGCACATTCCCTCAGGGGAGGCCAAGTGCCAGTTGCCAGTGCTGGCTACAGCTGTCCAAGACCTTGAGCGTCTCCAGCGCTGCCTTCCTGACCCCGGGATCCGAATCCAGCTGTAGTTCTTGGAGAGCTGGGTGGGAGCACAAAGAGGAAAGGGTCCAGCCTCTGGGAAGACCACACCCCTGTGCCTGGTGCAGCGGGTGGTGGCCACGTGGCCCGGCAGGACTGGACCCCCCCTGGGCATGCAGCCAGGAAATGGCAGGTGGAGCTGCAGTCACTCACAGAACCTGAGGGCAGCGTCAAGGTAGAATCAGCCCTTGAGCATCCATGAGTGGGGGGAACTCAGGCGGCCAGCAGGCCCCCCCAGGAGGCCCCTCCACAGGCCACCCATCTCATCCCATTCCTCTCCCCCAGACAAGCCCACAGGAAGGCCCAGCTGCCCTCCCAGGCTCCCCAGGGGTTTGCAGAGCCAGCGGGCTCCTTGGGGAGTGTGGGGAGGCCGACTGTGCATAACCGATTGTCCACTACTCACAATTCCGCAGGGCCTGCCAGTCCAGCTTTTTCAGATAGTGAACTGACAACTGCTTCACTATGATCCCTAAAAGGACAGCCAAAGAAATGCCACTGCCCAGGCCAGGTCAGCAGGAGAGCCTATGCAAGAGGCTCTGCCTTACCAAGACGTCAGTGAAGGATTTTGCTGGCCAGGACCAGACTAGGAGGAAGTCTAACTGGAGCCCAGAAGGTAGGCACAGTGGGCAGGCTCGACCTGAGCCCTCTTCCCCACCCTGCCACTGCCCCTGCCCCTGCAGCTAACTGGCTGCCCAGGTGCCCTTCCAGGTCCCTCCTGAATCAAGACATCTTCTGCTCACCTGCCAATTTGCAGGCAGCGATTCTGATCCTTAACAAGTCATTTTTAACATAGGACATTGTTTCCAGAAAGAAGCCATAGAGAACAGCAGGCTTTTTCTGAGTCTGCAAAAAGTAAGTGACATACAACAGCTTTCAGGCTGAGACCTGGAGCCGGGGTGATCACAAGGAGCATCCCCTTCTGTCTGATGCACCAGTGCTCCTGCAGCTGGAAGCCTCTGCCCAGAGACAGCAAGGGTCCATCCCAGCATCACACAGCAGATTCATAGCAGGGCAAGTTAAGGACATTTAGTCCCTGGGTTTGTTCTTGTCTAGGGGGACCATTACATTTATCAGGAACCTGTGCTATCCAAAATGTAGCCACTGGCCATGTGGTCCTTGAACACTTAGAATGTAGCTGGTCTGAATTAAGTATGATATGCCTTCTGGGTTTTGAAGACTGTACCAAAAAAATGTAAGCTATCATAATAATATAAAATTACAATAACAACACATTAAAGTTTATATATTTATATATTAAATATATTGTATGTATTTATAAACGTCTAATAAATATTGTGTGATATATTTATATACTTTATGTATGCCATATTGATAATAATTTTATATATAAATATATAACATACATGTTGAAATGATCATGTTGGGGCTATATTAGGCTAAGTTAAACACATTAAAATCGATTGGCCCCTTCCTACTTTCTGAATATGGCCACCGGGAAACCTAAACCAGGCGTGTGGCTTGCGAGCCGTCTCCAGGGGATGTTTTGTGTCTAGAAGAGAACCCAGGGCCTCGAGAGGACAGGCCACAGTGGGGTGTGCCTGCGGCTTCCTCACCAGGATGGAGCACATGCTTGTCTGGAAAACGGTCATCTCCTTGTCGGTTTTGGTGTGGCCTTGCCCCGAGGAGCTCTCCAGGGACCTCCAGCCCCAGAAGTGCACGCACCGAAACATGGTGGCCCTGCAGGCCTGGAGGGACACAGGACAGCCGGGCAGCATGGCATCGGCCCCTGAGCATGGGTCCCATCCTGCCCACCCCGCCCAGCCCCTGCCCACTGCAGGACCTGCTGAGGCCCCGCCCCTGGCCTCTGGCAGGGAGAGGGGGTGTCTCCTAAGAGGGGAGGGTACAGCGCTGGCGCCCCTGCCACCCTTTCTGGGTGTGCTGTCACCCTCGTCCCTGGGGCGTCTCCCATGCCACTGTCTCCGAGAGCACAGTGTGGGCAGAGTGGAGGCTGCGCAGGAGGGACAGCAGTCACCCAGCGCTGATGCTGCCTGCCCCATGTCACCAGGGACCCTGCAGCAGAGTCTGGGCAGAGAGGGGTGACGAGAACCAAACCCGGTCTGGGGAGAGCACTCTGGGATGTCCCTCACCCTGTGAGTGTCATCTGCACCACATCCACCCCATTGCCACCCAGAAACCCAACACTCATGAACAGTGTGCAGGGGACCTGCGACCCCAGAACTGGGGTTTGAGTGCCCTTGGGTGGGTCAGGTGCAACCCCAGGCTTTGAGAGGGGCAGAACACCCCAAGCTCAGCCACCTCCCACTGCCCACCCTAGTTTGTGTAGGAGAGAAGGGGGAGGGGTCATGGCCAGAGGGACCCTGTAGAGCCTGGGTGAGAGGTCATAGGGCACGTGAAGAAAGCGGAGTGGGGCGAGTGGCTGTCACACAGGCCCGTGCTCCAGCCAGCCAGGGCTAGGGACTGAGGGAGGAGCATGGGCCTCCCTCTCCTTCCTGCCTTCACTCCACAGCACCCGGGAGCTGGCCCTGCAGAGGGAAGAGACCAGGCCAGGCCCGTCCATGACTCCCAGCCGCCAGACATGGGCCCGCCCCACAGGGAACAGGAGACTTCAGCAGAGTGTTAAGCAGGACAGAGTCCTAACAGCCTAAAGGGACCTGCTAGGAAGAAAGGGGGATGGGGCCGAGGGTGGGCGCAGGCAGAGTCCAGCAGAAGGAAGCCAGGCCCTGTTTCCCACAAAGGCCCTTCCTGAGTCGCCCCGAGGGGGCCCTCTCCCAGCCTGCGCGAGGGAGGACATGGACAGCAGCTGGGCTCTGGCGAGGCTGGACATGCCTCCTCCCAAAGGACCGTTTCCTTTTGGGAGCGGCGCCACCTTTCAGACAGGGATGAGGGCGAGTCTTACGTGGGCTGTGCTGGAGCAGGGGTCCTGGCAGTGCAGCAGGAGGGGGACCCAGGCCCTCTTCACTTCCCCTTTGAAGAAACGCTGCTTGGAGATCCCCACCATCTTCGCCAGCTTCCCAAAGAGGACGAAGGCCTTCAGCCGCAGCAGCTCGCTCTCCTGGGCCGAGGAGCACAAGCAGGGGCTGGCTCCTGGAGCAGGAAGCCCGCCCGCCCGCCTCCCCAGGCCGTTCCAGATGCTTCAGCCCTGCAGGCCTTCTGGACCACCCTGCAGGGAGGAGTCCCTCCCTGGCCAGGGCTCCTGTGGCCCTCCAGGGACTGGGCATGACCTGGTCTGTGGGACCGGCTCTTCCCTGTGCAGGGCGGGAGTGTTTGGGAGGGGTAGGATGGGGAGGAAGCTCTTGAGCTCAAGGGGCCACAGCTTGAGTCTGCAGCTTAGCACAGGCGTTGGTTCTGCGGATCCTACAACCAGCTCTGCACACATCAGCGGCGAGCAGGCCCCCGGCTCACTGCTCCAGAGCACATCTTCTGGTGAGGGTAAGGAGTCCCCGCCCACCTGCTGAGCAAGCTGAGCGCTGTGCTGTGCCCCAAAAGTTCAGGTGTTGGAAACAATCCCTAAAGCCATATGCTGATGGAATTAGGAGGTGGGCCTTTGGGAAGTAGTTAGGGTTAGATGAAGTCATGAGGGTGGGGTGGGCATTAGTGGCTTCACAGAAGAGGAGGAGAGCTGAGCTCGCACACTTGATCTGTCTGCAGATGATGCAGCGAGAAGGCCCTCACGGGACGTGGGTATCCTGCTGGGGGGGGGGGGGGCTTCCTGGCCTCCAGAACCCTGAACTAAATAAATCATCTATGCCTGTGAGTCACCCGGGCTCGAGTATTTTGTTTTAGCAACGGGAAAAACTCTAAGATACTGAGGGAGGCTCTCGGCTGGACTCACATTGTCAAAAAAGACTCTGCACAGCTCAGAGACGGCTTCGAAAGAGGAGCCCATGTCCCCTTCTCGGAGCTCAGCCAGGATTTTGGTCAGGGTCTCCATGCCCTCGACAGTCACACTGCTGCTGGCGGGACCCCTCAGGGAGCCCAGGCACTGTTCCAGCAAGAGCTTCCGATACTGCTTCACCTGGAGGGAAGCAGACAGCTCAGCCTTCACCCTGCAGCCCGGCAGACCTGAGGAGAGGCCCATGCGGCCCTCAGCATCTGGGACCTGGACCCAGGGCATGAAAATACCTTCTTGGGGGCACCAAGGGCCATGTTGCCCAGGGCGCGCAGGGAGAGCACCCGCAGGGCCTCGTCCTCCTCCTGCTCGGCACCCTTCTCCAGCATCATCACAGCCGGCCTCAGCAGCTTCTGCTGGTACAGGATCGGGTGGCTCATGAACTGCAAAGGATGAGGTTCCCGTCAGCCCCCGAGGAGGCCCACTTCACAGCAGCAGGGTGCAACAGGGAATCAGGTACCACCCGGAATGGTCCCTCTGTGAGCAGGAGAGGGGGGACCAGGTGTTTCAGTGTCCTCATCTGTGGAGGGGGATGATGCCACCGCGTCCCCCGGGCTGCTGTGAGGGTTCAGTGAGGAAGCATGGTCACCTGCACAGAGACGCACGTTCCTTGCCATTGATTTCTCTAGTTAACACAACAGAGCCGCTGCCCGGGGCCGGTGCCTCCGGTCTGAACTGAAATGCCCGGGACCCTGAATTCTACTCCCTGGGGAGAACCTCACAAAAGCCTTTCTTTTTTAAAGAAAGCTGAAGAGCCAGCCACGGTGGCACGTGCCTATAATCCCAGCGACTCCCACAGCTGAGGCAGGAGGACGGCAAGTTCAAGGCCAGCCTCAGCAACTTAGAGGGCTGGGGATAAGCTCAGTGGTTGAGTGCCCCTAGATTCAACCCCCAGTAGTCCCCCCAAAAAAAGAAAGAAAAAAATCATGCATAATTCAGCCCCATCAATATTGAAAGAATTTAAACAACTTGCCTCTTACAAGCTGAACCTAACTTTTTTAGTAATAATCAGCTGGAATTTAACATTTACCATGCAAACAACATACACATGATCTCATTTAGTTCCCCTCAGAGACCCCTAAAGTAGGTTCTGCTGTTCTCACTCCAGCAGAGGCAGAAGTTGAAGCCCAGAGACCTTAATGAACTTGCCCAAGGCTGTCCAGCTGTGGGGTGGGGGAAGCTGGATCCTACCGGGGCCCTGTGACTCTAGCCCCCAGGGCCTGCTACCACACCTGTGTAAATCTCTTCCCACCGTCATTTTTCGGGGTTCACAGTGGAGGCATGAACACCAGACGAGCCTGAGAACTTGTAAAATCTTAGAAAGTCTGAGGCTGGTCTTGCACTGGGCTAGGAGTTTTTGTGTGGTCCAAAGCCAAAAGTCGTTTTCATAGTTTTCAATGGTGGAGGGATTTCATGACCGTGGAAGTCGCCTGAAGCTCAAGTGTCAGTGTCCATCAGCAAAGCTTTACGGGAACCCCACCGCACCCACGGTCTCCATAGCACCCGGGGCTGTTTTCCTGCTCAGCAGGGAGGTGCGGTCCTACTAGGAGGAGCTCCACACAAAGCTTGCTGCCGTCCTGGGCTCTGGGGTTCCTGGGGCACATCGGACTTCATGCGCCCAGTAAAGTCTCCCTCACAGTCTCTGGTCAGTTCCCTCAGGACTCACGAACCCTCCCCTGGCAGAGCAGCTGGGCCACATGGCTGTGGCCCTCCCACCTTCCTGGCTGGCGAGGCTGGTGGCCTCTCAGAGCCTCCTGTGCAAAGCCTTCGGTGGATCCCATGGTGCCTCCGCTGGCCCAGGTCATTCCCCTCCCCTTGCCATGCCTCGGCTGCCCGTCTTGGGCACGGGCCATCTCAGCCTCTCCCCACAGTGCCCACCCCGCACTACTCCTGGACCAAGGAGCGAAGGAGTCAAGGAGCATGCAAAGGAAGAAGCTCAGAGGACCCTCAGCCACTGGGTGCCTGCCTCAGAGGCCAGCCATCGCAGGAGAGCCCAGGACACCACCCCCCCGCCCACCCCACAGGGCCACGGGCCTCACCTCCACGCAGACGGCCGTGCTGCTGACGCGGCAGCTCAGGACTTCGGAGGCCATGCCCCTGAGCACCAGCTCCGACAGCCTCAGCCTGTAGCTCTCCATGTTCTGCGTGCACAGCCTGTGAAGGACACCAGGGTGCTACCACTGCTCTGCAGCTTGGCGCTGGCTGGGGGTCTGAGGGGCTTAGTAGGGGCTGTCAGTGAAATGCTCTCTCTCCATCTGCTTTTCTAAAAGTGGGACGGGATGAGGGCTGTTCGAGGTGATCAGGACCCAGGAGGGGCTGCCCATGCGGGTCCTGCTGCTAGCCCCTCCTCTCCCTGACCTCACATCTGCTCTGGAGCAGGAAGTTTTGAACGAAAGGTTCCCACTGTCCTACAGTGCACTGCCACCCCAGAGTCTGGGACACAGGTCAGTGTGGCAGTGTCCCCAGATACAAGGCATCCAGCGGTGCCAGTCACAAAGGCCTTCTGTCCCACAGTGCCCTCCACCCCATGAGAGCCTGGGCCCCACCTGGCCAGCAGGCCCACTCCCTCCAGGAAGGTCAGGCTGTCCTCCAGCAGTGCCCACACAGACTGCTCTTCCAGGGCGTGCAGCAAGCGCTCGTTGTTGATTCTCTTGAGCAAAAGCTGCATGGACTTGATGGTGATCCTGAAGGAGGTGGCAGGTCTGATGTACTGCTGGGCTCCGGGCCCCTGCTCTCCTGTCTGGGAGGTGGGGATCCCAACCCCTGCTGGGCCCCATGCAAAGAGCTGAGGGGGCCGAGTGGGTCTGCAAACTGAAACCCACGCCAGCTGGACATACATAAAAGGGATGGTGAAATCAGCCTCCAGAAACTCCCCACCAGGAGGAGGAACCTACGCCCCCTCGTGCAGGTGACTCATGGGCCCAGACAGCTGCTCAGGGAGGTCCAGCCGTGGAGGCCAGGTCCCGCCCAAGCCTGCTGCCTGTACTGCATGGACCACCCACCTGCCCACCTGCCCTCAAGCACCTCTCTAGGTTCATCTCCTCGGGCAGGGTCCCCGTGTGGACCAGCCTCCAGGTCTTCAGGACAGGAGAGGCAGCCTTGGGCCTGAGGCTGCTGCTGAGCTGCAGCAGGAGGGTGTAGATGAGGTCAGGGAACAGGTCCCGGAGCTTGTCCCCCCTGTCCAGCTTCTCCAGGAGCAGATGGATGGTGCACAGGGTCTGAGGGGAGAAGGGCCAGAGGTGTTGGGAATTCTACGCTGAGACCTCTGAGAAGACCCAGGGCCTGCCCCTGGCACTCACCATCAGGGGGTCCACTGCGGCCAGGCGCCAGATGTCAGCCTTGGAGGTGGCGTTTACCCTGGGGGTGAACCGCGACTGCAGGCGGCCCATCAAGCTGTGGAGCATAGTCCGTGCAAAAGGCACATTCTGTGCCACAGTCAGCCACACCTCCGTCAGGTGGCTAGCCAAAGACAGGCACAAGGTCAGTGGGTTTTTCTGCCATGTGCCCTGGTAGGGAGAATCCCTTTCAACCCCTTGGCAGGGCCCCAGCTACTATCTGAACTCTGGGAGCTGAACCTCAGGGAGGTGGTGTTAGTCTGCGTAATTAGAACCCAGGTCCCTGACTGCATGCTCAGGCCCCTTTTTCTGCCCAGCTCATAGTCCTGCTGGGAAAGCCATGGCCCCCTTGGAACACCTGGGGTCCCACTGGTTATGTTTGAAGACTGTAAGGACAGAAATACTTCCAAGGACCCAACGCATGTCAGGCAGTTTGCTGATGTTATTTTATCAGCTAATTCTCCCAATGAGTCTTAGATATGAAGGTATTTTTCTCTCCCTATGCTACAGAAAAGGAGAATAAGGCTTTCAGAAGTCAGGTGACCAGCCACACTACAAGAGGAAATGTCTTCCTTGTTCTCAAGTTCAAGTCTCTGGCTCTACTGCCCAGGATGGTGTCTGAACGCGCCAGGTACAGAGGGACAGAGGTGGGAATCAGTAGGTTATAAAGGGCTAAAGCAAAAGTCTAACAAGGCTGAACAGAACAAAGAGACTCATAAACTGCCTATTCCAGCCCTCCACACCACATGCACAAGCACAGGGAGGTGAGTTTGGGGCTGTGGAAAGAGTAGAGGGGAGGGGGTCAGAGGTAGAAATCAGATGAGGGGCCCAAAAGACACTCGCTAGGGCCGAGGGTAAAGAGATCATGGGGGTCAGGAAACAGGGCCCTCAGTCCCATAATGGCAAGAACCTGGATTCTACCACAGTCGCCTGAAACTGGAGGAGCTCCACCTGACTGCAGTCTCCTGAGGCCCTGAGTGAATTGCCACCTAAGTGCTCACTCCTGACCTTCACAAACTGTGAGGTTGTAAGGAGCATCTGCAGTAGACATGCTGGAACATGCTGGGACTCAGCTGGCCATAAGGAACAGCAGCCACTGAGCTGCTTGGTCACGTCTGCTTGCAATTGATAAGGAGCTGTGAGGGCCACTAGCCACAGGGATGCTTAGCAATGACTGGCTACAACTGACAGGGAGCCCAGCTCCCTGGACATGCACAAAGAACATGCCAGCTGCAATTACATCACCTCACTGGACATAACCAATGGACATTGACTTTCACTGGATGTAACCAATCACCAAAGTACGCCACCAACTTGGAACTCTATTTAAATTGCTGGTCCTGCCACATTGAAGAGTTTTTTCTCCAAGGACATTGGTGAGACTGGCCACCTCGCTGTCTGTCCCTGGACTGACTTCACCATTCCCTGATGTCCAGCCATGGGCTGGAGAGAACCACCGGATCAGGACAACGTCTGCTCTTGGCTAAGAGAAGTCGCAAGGCATCGGAGGTATTTTGGGGCTCGTGGTTGCCCTGGGATTGTGTGCTGTGCTTATAGTGTTTAATCAGTGCACACTGAAGGCTAGTCGGGGTGTTCCTGCACAGCCAGCACTTTTTGCATTAATTGTTTATATTTGATGATTGGTGTGGTCGATAAACACTTGCATTTAAAGACAATCCGCCTCTGAGTAACTATTGATAGCCCTGCTCAGGACAGGGTGTTCAAAGCTACTAAGTTGGGGGCATTTATTATGCAGTGATAGCTGACCAAAACAGATGTTGGTCAACCATCAGTAGCCACCAGGAATGCCAGTAGGACCTAGGGACACACTACTAGGAGTGCACTACCCTCTGCCCCTACTTTCCAGCACTGCTCCAAGTGCCACCAACCCTCATTAAATTAAATCACAAAACCTGAGCTGCACTCCCACCTGACCCTGTAGGGCTCCTTTAGGAGTGGAAGGTCAGCCCTGGCTGTGGGCCTGAGGCCTGGGTTTGGCTTACAGCCTCTTAGTGTGACATCCCCCTCATCTTACTGGGGCAGCACAGCCTAGCTGCTCTGGGGGGACTCCTGCCTCTTTCTGGGCCTCCCTAGGGGAGTTCCAGTGCTGTCCCAAACACAGTCCCCACCTTCAGCGAGACCCCGCCCCCACACAGGACATTGTGGAGGAGCTGGCTCCCAGAGATGCCTCCAGGAGGAGGGGCTGCCCTGCGGCTCCTGGTAAACCCCTTCCCCTCTGAGGCCACATTTTAAAAGGAACAGGGACTGGAGCATCTCAGGGGCTTTCTCAGGCTGTGGCTCATCTGCCTGAGGCTCTGTCCCCACAGGAAGGAAAGGGCTGCCATCAGGGGATAGTACTGGACTTCCTGGCCTGACCCAGACAGGACAGCCAGGACACGTGAGGACCTACAGCTCCCAGAGTCCAGCGGGTGTGATGAGGCTTTGGAAGTCTGGCCTCTGGGTCAGTGGTTCCCTGGAGGCTGGGGACCCCTTAATGAGATGCAGGTAATTGGCTTTGACCCCCCCTGGGCCCAGGCTTCTGGGACATGTCCTCCTCCTTTGGGCACCCACCTCTCCATGGGCAGGGGCTGCCTCAAGAGTGATGTGAGCACAGTCTCCTGGTGGTAGTGAGCCAGCAAGAGGATGTCTTCAATGAGAAGGCGCCGCACCTCCGGGTGGTCCACCACTGGCAGGTGGACCAGGATGGCGCCCAGGATCTCAGCCACCTGGGGAGGGGGCAGGCATCACTGGGGCATCAGGCCCTGTGGGACACCTCTCCCTGAGGGAGAACAGTGGGCAGGGCAAGACTCCAGGACCCTCCCCAGCATCAACACCAGAACCTCTCCAAAGAGAGGCTTTCATCTCTTCCTTGGACTCAGGGGGAGGGTGAGCCCCAGGAGAGGGACATGTCCCATGGCCTCTGGGTGCTGTCAACATGTTGCCTCTACTCTAGCTATGTCCTCCTCCTCTCCTCCTCCTCCTCCCCTCCTCCTCCCCTCCTCCTCCTCCTCCTCCCCTCCTCTTCCTCTCCACCTCCTCCTCCTCCTCCCCTCCTCCTCCTCTCCACCTCCTCCTCCTCCCCTCCTCCTCCCCTCCTCCTCCTCCTCCTCCTCCCCTCCTCTTCCTCTCCACCTCCTCCTCCTCCTCCTCCCCTCCTCCTCCTCCTCCTCCTCCTCCCCTCTTCTTCCTCTCCACCTCCTCCTCCTCTTCACCTCCTCCTCCTCCTCCTCTCCTCCTCCTCCCCCCTCCCCGTCCCCTCCTCCTCCCCTCCTCCTCCTCCTCCTCTCCTCCTCCTCCTCTTCACCTCCTCCTCCTCCTCCTCTCCTCCTCCTCCTCCCCCCTCCCCCTCCCCTCCTCCTCCCCTCCTCCTCCTCCTCCTCCCCTCCTCCTCCTCTCCACCTCCTCCTCCTCCCCTCCTCCTCCCCTCCTCCTCCTCTCTACCTCCTCCTCCTCTCCTCCTCCTCCTCCTCCTCCTCTCCTCCTCCTCCCCTCCTCCTCCCCTCCTCCTCCTCCTCCTCCCCTCCTCCTCCTCTCCACCTCCTCCTCCTCTCCTCCTCCTCCTCCTCCTCCTCTCCTCCTCCTCCCCTCCTCCTCCTCCCCTCCTCCTCCTCTCCACCTCCTCCTCCTCTCCTCCTCCTCCTCCTCCTCTCCTCCTCCTCCCCTCCTCCTCCCCTCCTCCTCCTCCTCTTCACCTCCTCCTCCTCCTCCTCTCCTCCTCCTTCTCCTCCCCTCCACCTCCTCCTCCTCTCCTCCTCCTCCTCCCCTCCTCCTCCCCTTCTCCTCCTCCTCCTCCCCTCCTCTTCCTCTCCACCTCCTCCTCCTCCTCTCCTCCTCCTCCTCTTCACCTCCTCCTCCTCCTCCCCTCCTCCTCCTCCTCCCCCTCCCCCTCCCCTCCTCCTCCCCTCCTCCTCCCCTCCTCCTCCTCCTCCCCTCCTCCTCCTCTCCACCTCCTCCTCCTCCTCCCCTCCTCCTCCTCCTCCCCCCTCCCCCTCCCCTCCTCCTCCCCTCCTCCTCCTCCTCCCCTCCTCCTCCTCCCCTCCTCCTCCTCTCCACCTCCTCCTCCTCCCCTCCTCCTCCCCTCCTCCTCCTCCTCCTCCCCTCGTCCTCCTCCTCCTCCCCTCCTCCTCCTCCTCCCCTCCTCCTCCTCCTCCTCTTCACCTCCTCCTCCTCTCCTCCTCCTCCTCCCCTCCTCCTCCCCTCCTCCTCCTCCTCCTCCCCTCCTCCTCCCCTCCTCCTCCTCCTCCCCTCCTCCTCCTCCTCACCTCCTCCTCCTCACCTCCTCCTCCTCCTCCCCTCCTCCTCCCCTCCTCCTCCCCTCCTCCTCCTCCTCCTCCTCCCCTCCTCTTCCTCTCCACCTCCTCCTCCTCTCCTCCTCCTCCTCCTCCTCTCCTCCTCCTCCTCCTCCTCCTCTCCTCCTCCTCCTCCCCTCCTCCTCCCCTCCTCCTCCTCCCCTCCTCCCCCCCTCCTCCTCCTCCCCTCCTCCTCCCCTCCTCCTCCCCTCCTCCTCCCCTCCTCCTCCTCCTCTCCTCCTCCTCCTCCTCCTCTCCACCTCCTCCTCCTCCCCTCCTCCTCCCCTCCTCCTCCCCTCCTCCTCCTCTCCTCCTCCTCTCCTCCTCCTCCTCTTCACCTCCTCCTCCTCCTCCTCCTCTCCTCCTCCTCCTCCCCCCTCCCCCTCCCCCCCTCCTCCCCTCCTCCTCCTCCTCCTCTCCTCCTCCTCCTCCTCCTCCCCCTCCTCTCCTCCTCCTCCCCCCCCCTCCCCCTCCCCTCCTCCTCCTCTCCCCCTCCTCCTCCTCTCCCCCTCCTCCTCCTCCTCCTCTCCCCTCCTCCTCCTCCTCCTCTCCTCCTCCTTCTCCTCCCCTCCTCCTCCTCCTCCTCTCCTCCTCCTCCTCCTCCTCCTCCTCCGCCCCAGGTCTGTAGGGAGACGCAGTCTCGGAGTCAGCCCCAGCCCCACCCAGGGCCCTGGGCAGTTGTGCCACCTTATCCTCCAGCTCCCTGGCCCGCATCTGGAGGAAGGTGCCTATCCAGGTGACAGCAGCCTTGTCGTGCGGCAGGTCCAGGGCCCCGATGTTCTCACAGAGTTTCTGGATGAGTGAGACCACCTCGTCACAGTTAAACTCCATGCAGACCACCTAGGATCAGAGCACGACCGAGTTCCAGCCCGCTCCCCGGCTCCCCCTACTCCACCCAGGAGGCATGGCCGTGGCCCTCTTGGGACTCGCTGCCCAGCTTCTCACTGTGCTGACGAGGTGCTCAGACAGCAACTCAGCACCTCCCACATCAAAGCGCTCCCACAACCAACCTCTCCCAGTCCTCGCCGCCTGCCTCCCGCCCTCCCTGAGCCCCACACAGGATGCTCCCGCACAAATCTCCTGTCCCCACTCCACTGCCCTGCAGCCTGCCTGGCCTGCGCCCTGAGCCCTGTGCTCATCCTGCCTCCCCAAAAGCCCCCTTTGCACCAGGAAGCAGCTCCGCCCTCAGGCAAAGGGGAGCTCACGACGACCGAAGGCCTGTTTGCAGGGAAGGTGCCTATCCAGGTGACGGCAGCCTCGTCTGGGCACTTCCTTTCATTAGTGCGACATTAGCACACAGGACTGCTCTGGACCATTCCTGTGGCCCTCTCCATGCTCAGCGCAGCACATTGTAAGTGCCAGGAGGACTTGGCCAGGAAATGTTAGGCACCGTCTCTGTGCTCAGCGCCCCAGTGAGGAGCCCTACACAGGTCATTGAGTACGGACATATCCCTTGGACAAAAGGCTGGGGAGGTAGCAACCCCTAGAGGAGAACATGGGAGACACAGACAGCCCAGGAAAGCCCACCCCAAGAGATGGCCAGAGGCTGGGGAGCAGCCGGTGATCACCTTGGCAATCCTGGAGGAGGCACAGAAGACCTTGTCGGCGTCTGCCTCCTGGATGTCCTCCTTGCATTTCTCCAGCTCCTTCTCCTTGGCAGCATCCCATAAGGAGCAGGTCTGGCTTGCTGTTGGGAATACAATTTCAGACCTGCTGGGCAAGGACGGGGTCTGGCCGAGGCCACTCTGCGGCAAACTCCTGCCCTGGCTGCAGAGGCCTGAGCCACCCTCCAGCATCGGCACATCCCATCCCTCTTGCACCTGCTCTCGCTGTGCTTCCAGGGGTGGCCTCTGCCCACACCTCCTCTAGCACAGCTCAGCCCCCCTGCGTCCCCCTGTGCTCAGCTCCAGCCAGTCCCACTGTATCCTGGGTGTCCGGAGCTGACCTGGCCCAGCACTGCCTTTAGTGCATCAACCCCTGGGTCTCTCCTTCTGGAACCTTCTGTGGCCTCTCGGTGCACTCTGGCCCCCTCCACTCTCCTCTGGCAACCCTGTTTGTCTCCCACCCACCCCACAGACAGTCACACTGCCCCAGGGCAGGCCTGCAGCCGACCCTCCCCCTGCAGCCTGCCTGTTTGCCCGCAGAGGCCGGCCCTCATGGCCGGCTCTCCCCATACCGTGAAGATCTAGCAGGCTGGACAGGATATTAGTTGAGGCCACGCGTGTTCTTTGGTGGGTATCACAGGTGCATGGGGCAATGAGTCCAACCAGTGTGCCAAACTGCCCCAGCTTCAGGGGAATCTGAGGGACAGGGGACAGCAGGGCTCACACCTCTGTCCTCACACATACCTGGGGCTGCCCAGAGGCAGCACGATGACGGCTAGAGAGGGTGAACCCTGTGCTGGGCACCCTGCTCTGGGTACAGGAAGGCTACCCCATCCACCTCCTCCCAGGCTTCAGTCTCCCAGCGCCATGGTATGGCGCTGCAGGAGGTCAGCCAGGATCAGGGTCCGGCCTCGGGACACGCCCTGAGTCAGCTCTGCCCTGCTCACTGCTCTGAACTGGAGCCCAGTTTCTATATCCAGGCCCCTGTCTCATTCCTGTAAAATGGGCCTCCCCACTCACTAGCTGAGTGGCCTGGGCAGGAGACATGGCCTCTCAGTTCCTCACGTTCCCTGTCTGTAAAGTGGAGCAAACAATGCCGCCTCCTCTTTCGGGGACATTATGAGAACAGATCACGGAATCCAGGTCACGTGTCCTGACAGTACCTGGCCTGACATGGCCTTAATGTTGGCCATAGCTCCTGCCGCACTTGGCCAAGCTGCTCCCACCTCCATCCAGGTGCCCCAGGGTCTCACCCACACGACCCCCAGGCCTGAGGTTGTGCTGCACCTCAGCCCTGGGACACCATCCTCCCACCCTCAGCCATCCCCAGGGTGTGGTGCTTGTCAAGCCATTTGTGACTGTCGCAATGCACTCCCTCGTTCTAAGTGGACTTCTTTTTCCACTCATGTTTCAAACGTGAGTGTCCTCTTTGGTTTTTAAAGAGGGCCTCACCATGGCTAAGCCTCAGGCTCACTAACCTGGTCCAGGCCAAGCTGCTGGCCTGTCCTCTCCCCACTGCCCCACCCAGAGCCCGGGGCTTGCTCATGGCAGCCTCTTCCCAGGGGCTCTTCAAGGGCAGAATTTGACTTCAGAAGCTCCCAGAGAGAGAGGAGTTCTATGAGGTCAGAGTGGCAGGCTGAGCTGGGCTGGGGACCCTGGACTCACGCAGACGCCGACACTTTGCACGTAGATCTGCATGAGATGGAGGTGGAGGTTGGTGGCCTTCTCCCGTTCCCATTCTTTCTCTGACAAGATCCACTTCTCCAGGAGCTATGTGTAGAGCCCAGAACACAGAAGTGGGCTTTAAAATCCTGGGCAGCCCTACCCTGGCCAGCTTTGGCCCTCCTGAAACCTCCCACTCTGAGTTTGACTTTCAGTGCTTCTGCATGGCTCCAGGCACGTCTGGATTCTTTACAGGCTTACTATGGAGGAAAACGAGGCTGAGGGCAGAGGGGGGTCCCCAGCATCTTCACAGGGATGGTATTGGGCTGCTGTGTTGAGCCTGGCTCCAAACATCTGCCTTAAACGAGGGGCCGGGAGCACAGCCCACCACACTCCAGATGGGCCTGGGGCCATCCAAACACCACAGTTCCTGTCAGAGCCGGGGACATTGCTATTGTGGCTTGCATCTTGCGTGCTTCCCAAAGGCCTTGTGCCAAGGGCGCAGCCTCCAGCCTGGAACACCCCTGGGAAATGGCAGAACTGATAGACCCAACCTGATCTTTTATCAAAATTGGGAGCCATCTTGCCACAAAGCCATGAAAAGATAATTTCAGCTTTACTATAAATTACTGCAAATTCTGAACCTGCTTGGAATGCCTGCCCGTGCCTTGAACTCACCCATGCCTGACTCTCTGACCAGATAGCAGCCCTCTCTGAAACTTCAGTGACACCTCATAAATATTGGCCTTCCCTGGCCAGACAACGACCCTCTCTGAGGCTCTAATGGTCCTCATAAATTCTCATGTTGGGGCCAGCAAAAAATGTAAACTACCATTAGTGTGACGCTTGTCAGAGTTCTGTTATCTGTAACCCCCCTTTTGTGTAACTTTCTGGGCTATAAAGCTGGGCTGTAGGAAAGCTGGGGTGCTGTCTTGTTCCCGCCGTTTTGGGAGGGAGAGGCAGCCCGGCCGGTCGAAATAATAAGCTTGCTTTAATTTGATTTTAATTGGAGTCAGTGGTCTTTTCTTGCGTCCTGGTCTAACAGAACCTTCGGAGGTGAGGCCTAGTGGAAAGAAGCTAGGTCACTGGGGGTGTCCTTGGGGGTGTCCTCGGACGGCGGTTGGGACCCTGGATCCTTCCTCCCTTCCTCTTTGCTTTCCTGTGGCCACGAGGTGAGCAGACCCCTCAGCCAGGCACTCCTGCCGTGATGCTCCGCCCTGCCCTGGGCTCAAGGAAAGGGAGCCGGCCCACCACGGGCTGAATGCTGAGGAACCAGGAGCCAAAAGCACACTTCCTCCGCCTAAGCTGATTTGCCCAGGCGGTTTGTCACAGCCATGGAAAGCTGACTAACAATTACTATGGAACAAGAGGGCCACGAATCACCACAAAGGGTCAGTTCATCTCGAAGTCACAGCAGTCCTCGATGTTTCCACACCCAGTAGCACTGCTAAAGGATACACGGAGCAGAAATGCGTAGCACTGGAAAGAGAAACCCACAAGTCCACAGTGACAGTCAGAGGTCAGCTCCTCCCTCTCAGTAACCGAGAGAACCAGAAGGCAGAAAGTCATAAAAGACAGGAAACAATGCTACCAGTCAGCTTGGCCTGATTGGCTTTAACTGAGAAACTGATGTTGAGAAACCAGCCTCTACCTCAGAGCAAAGCCTGTCCAAGGAAGGGGGCGTGACCCTTGTCCTTGGAAAAACCCACAGAGCACTCCTAGGCACATTCCCACCCTGCTGAGTTGTTTATCTACAAATAACAAGAGAGATCTGCTGGGCCTGGTGTCCCTGACTCAGTCAGGCTAGGTGGGGAGCCATAGCAACCCCCTAGCAACCACCAATCAGCATGAGTCAGGGAAAATACCTGGGATGCCAGATGACCCTCCCAGTAGTTTACGGTGGTTGATAACGTGTTGGGAAACCATGTAGTTCAGCATGTACACCCCTCTTGGCTTAAACCCATCAGTTCAAATGAATCCTCCTCTTGTAGTAACCAATCACCCCTACCCAACTTGTTCCCGCCAGTGAATGTGCTAATCATGTTTTAGAGTTGTTATTTGATTTTCCCGCGGTGTGTGATGATTTGCTAAGAGATGCTATAATGTATGTGAAGTCCCTGCCTTCTCCAAAGAATGTATAAAACTGCTGCAAACCCTGGGCTCAGGGCCTCTCAGTGTCACCAGTTGCTGTGTGCTCGGAGGACGGTGCTAGCTCGCAATAAACACCTCTTTGCTGCTTACATCGATCTTGGTCTCTGGTGGTCTTTTGGGGGTCCCGAATTCAAGCATAACATTAATTCATGAGGAAAGGACAGTCCTTCCAACAAATGATGCTGTAACAACTGGCTACCCACATGCCAAGACACTAAAATTCAATACACTTTGACCTGTGCCTCACATCATACAAAATAATTCAAAGTGTATCCTATTAACTCAAAATCTATCAGAGATTAATGTAAAATATATCAGAAATGTAATTATAAAACCTGAAAATATAAAACTTCTAGAAGAAAACACAGGAGAGAATCACTGTGATCTGAGGTTAGGGAAAGATTTCTTAGACTTGACACCCAAAACATGATCCATAAAAGAACAGAAATCAAACTTCATCTAAATTTAAAACATCTCTTCATCACAAGACACTGGGGAATTTAGGAAAAGAAAAGCCACAGATCAGAAGAAAATATTTTTAAATCCTGTAACTGGCATCCTATACCCAGAATATATTAGACCTCTAAAGGATCAGTAACAAGAAAGCCCAATTTAAAAACAAAAGAACCATCCAGTGCCTTTCAAAAACGCCAAGCTTAAAAAGACAAGGACAAAGGGAGGAACTGTTCCAGATTAAAGGAGAAGAAAGAGACACACACTAAAAGCGTGCAAGGGACTGGTCTTGGGAGTGGCTATCAAGGACCCTATTTGGGGCAATTAGTGAAATTTCAATATGGATCATTGTTTTTAACAGAGCAATGTAGCAACAATCAGTGCCCTGATTCTGATCATGGTCCTGTGGTGATAGATCATTCTTGATCTTGAGGTGAGTAGTTATGAGTAGTTACCTTCCCATGCTTCAAAACATGTGTGTGTGTGTGTGTGTGTGTGTGTGTGTGTGTGTGTGATGAGGAAGAGCCAGAGGGGAGAATGTGGAGAAACGTTAAGAATTATGGATTGGGGGAAATGTGACTTTATACTCTTGCAGTTTTTCAGCAGACAAAACAAACAAAACCACAGAAGCCAGAATTAGAAAGGCAGTCAGTGTAGATAGTAAATCGAGTCAGGTCGGATCTAAGAGGCGAATTTTGAGTGAGTCTGGGAAGTTGGGGACTGTCCCCTGAGGGATCTTATCAAGAACCTACCCCTCCTCCAACCTGTTGCCAAGGTGACCTGTCCCAGGAACTGCCCCTCCCTACAGGGAGCTATAAGGTTGTTGATGTGTCCTTGTCTACTCCATCCTGCCCTTCCCCCTTCAGCCCACCTCTTTCCCACCTTCTGGCCTATGAGCATTCCTGGGCCTAGTCACACGTGCAGGAAGGAGAAAGATTAGGGGGGAAAGCAGGAGAACAAAGGATCCTAGGACACATAAAAAGTGCAGAACACGTACGTCACCCTGGGGACCCCAGGATACCATCTATGGCCCCCTCCTCCCTCCTGGGGGAAGCCTATGACACAGGCTTTTTAAATAAACCCTGCTTTATCTGCTTGCCTCGGGTGCTCCTCTAATGTTCAGACTTCAACATGTGGGGAAGCAGGACTCGTCACCAATAACCCACCGATAACCAGCGGTGTCACCACTACAATGTATTGATGCACCACCCTGCTTCCCACAGTCTGGCCCTCGAGCCTCCTCCCTGGAAGAGTGACCACCTCTTGCTCCCCACCCTTGGCCAGGCCACTCACGTGCACCATCTCCTGCAGTCCCCGGGGGTCCAGCTGCCTCTGCATGAGGCTCTCCATCAGCTGCTCCAGAGACCTCAGCGTGTTGGCATACAGAGTCTAAGGCCAGGAGACAGAAGGGCAGCCGTGAGGGCTACACACAGTCAGCCACTGGGCTCTGCAGGAATCCATGCCAGAGTGCAGAGGGGAGAGGGCCTGATGGCCAGCCCTGAACAGCTGCCCACAGTGAGCTATTTACTCTCATCTTCCCATGTGAAGTGCAAGACCATCTTGTAAGAGGAACCCATCTCACAAAACTAGAGCCCAATTCCCCCAACTCCTTATCCTATGACCAGCCTTTGAAACAGAGGTGGCCACTTCCAGTGTTCTGCATCCGTTCTCTTCCAGTGTTGCTGGTCCCTCCAGTGAGGGACCACATGTCCCAGGACCCTGCATCTAGCTGGAGTCATGTGACTGCCTTCTGGACCATGGAAGGACAGAATGGGTCACAAATTTTCCATGCTTTCTCTTTCCCCATGTCCAGGTGGGAAATCAATACCCACCAGGACCCTAGGAGCTATGCTTTGGAGATGGTGGGGGCCCCTGTCAGCCTGGATTCGTGACAACTGCATGAAGCAGAGCCACATTCTACCTCACTGACAACTGGGCTTTGCTTGGATGAGAAACTTTTATCTGGTTGCACCACTGAAGTTTGGGGGTTTATCTGTTACAGCAGCTAGTATTACCTGGTATTTACTAGTAGAGCCCTCTACACCTTGCTGCCTCTAACCACGTGGCCCAGGAAGGTGGACTCTGCCCATGTCAAAGTAAACACCCAGGTTCTGACCCAGAAAAAGAGGTGGCCAAGAAGGTACCTACCTTAATAGACTCGTTGTCCTCTCCAGGGGGTTGGAGAGAAATGACAGAATGTAAACTGATATCCATCAGCTCGTTACTTTCTTCTATGGAGTAGAAAGGCCGCAGTTTGCTGTGCAAAGAGGCATTAACAAGAGGAGAGTCACTGAGGAGTGGAACCTGTGCTGCCCACAACCCAGCCAGAGGCACATCCCATCCCTGCCCAGGGGCCCTGTCTGCTGCCCACCAGCCTCCAGTGCTGTATCTCTGAACGAAGCAGAGATTCAAGGGGTCCCAGGTCACTTCTCCCACTTCCAGTGCCTACTTTGAACTTGTGAATCTCCTTCCTCCCCAATCTCAGTCAGAGAAAATCTGGTGCCAACCCCGGATTTTCAAGGTGTGATACCTGGTGTTTGTTAGCCACAGAAACTCTGGCCACTGCAGGCCTAGTGAACCAAAGCCTCTGGGGTGCACCAGCTTCCTGTGTCTTCACTAACACTGCAGGGGGAGAGCCAGCTGACCAGGGGACCAGGGCTCAGACACCATCTATCCCCTCACCAACGCTTCTCAAGATGGTTGCCATTAGCATTACCTGGAGAACTCCCAAGGACCCCCACAGGCCACTTCCAGGCTCAGGGATTCTTACAGAAGGGCCTGGGGTGGGACCAGGGCATGGCACTATTGAGAGTTCCCCAGTGGTTCTGTTGTGCCCCAGGGCTGACAGACCCTATCCCACCTTAACTTCCAGCTCGTCTTGCCTGAAGGCGTCTGGCTTCCCTCAGCCCCTCTGTCCCAGCCCAGAGCAGAAGTCAAGGGCTGACTCCGGCTCCACACCCTCTGGTGGCCCCTACTGTACAGAGGCCGATTGCATTTTCGCCCAGCCCTCCTTTTCAGTCTCTTGCTTGTTTCTTTTGGTTCCCCTACAAACATTTCCCCCTCGGTCAGCTCTGACCTACGTGCCTGAAGTCCCTGAGAGGCCAAGACCCGGTCCTGCCCAGTACCCAGCGTGTAACTGGACGTGTGCTCTGCTGGGGTCAGTGTAATGTCTTACAATCCGCCTGTGGCTGCCTCCTAGAGCCACACGTGGCTTCTCGGAGGGCCCCGTAACAATCAGTCCTCTGCAAGTCAAGTACCCTGAAAATGTCCCCACCACCTCAAACATTAACCACAAATCCATAATGCCCCCCTTGCCTCCCCTCCCACAGGTGGACCTCTGGGGAGGGCACACCTTTGCTATGGTATTGCCTGTAGAAACAGATCCATAAATAGTGCTGGGTTTGTCAGCTGAGTCCACCCCCATATCCCTTGATGCTCCTTGGCATTGCTCAAAACCCCTCATCCACCCCAAAACCGTCTGCCCTCCTGCCATTCCAGGAGAAGCATCCAACTTGAAATGTTGCTGGGAATCAGGGAAGGAGCCGACCCCGTCTTCTAGATGCCCTTTGCCCCAGGGAGCAGCTGCCCCAGACCCCAACACAGAGGCAGGCAGGGAGGAGGAGGTGCAAACGCTGAGGGGGCACCAAGGGGTGCCTTGGGCTTTGTCCCCAAGCCCAGAGGCCACTTGGGGCTCAGACAAAGGCCCAGCTCACCTCAGGTGTGAGAGGGCGTCCATTGCCATTGTCCGCACGGGAGAGGCCAGGTGGTCAGTGGGTTCCACCTTGAGGATCGCCTGTGCAGCACAAGGAAGGTGGTGACCTTCCTGCCACCCAGGAGGTCCGTGGCTGATGGGGACAGTGGCTGCACTCCACAGCATTGGCTCAGGGAAGACCTGGCCCTTTGTAAAGTTCCCTATCATCCCAGACCTCTGTCCTGGTTTTCGTTTGTTCACTTGGCCTTTGGCATCTCGGGAGGCAGGAAAGAGTACAAGGAGCAAGGCCTACGCCCGATAGGCCGTGTGTCCTGGCCACATACTTCCCTGCCTGAGCCCACATCCCTTTATTCATCCAGAACTCCACACCTGTTCCACAGGCTGGGCCAGGCTGGTGTGAAACGACACACGCGTGCTCATCTCCCGAGGTCTCCTGCTCCACCCGTACCTCACTCCCCCAGGACATCCAGCACAGCTTGGGCGCTTTCCAGGGGCCCAAGGCCTTGGCAGGATGGTGGGGGTGGGGAGGTCTGGAGACAAAGGGCATGGGGTGTCCACAGGCCCCATCAGCCTTTGGACAGTTGACACTTCCTGTGCAAATAGTCACTCTAAGCCCTGCCTCTAGAAGATCACCATCCCCTAAGTCCCTCCCAAGGAGGAACGCTAAGGCTACAGCGGACCTCTGATGACCATCCCTGGACACCACAGGGCCCCAGTCAACTGAGGTCCCTCCCGGGTTCTCAAACTCTCCTGGCTATGGAACCCTTCATCAGTACAAAGCCGGTTCTCCGAACTCCTCCGCTGGACAGCTCAAGGGGGGAGGAGGCAGGGAGGGCTCTGAAGCCCCTTTGCCCTCCCACACATGCCCTGAGGACCTCCCCGGGGAGAAACCAGTCACGGAGAGTTAGAGCCCCCACCTCCCAGGACTGAGCAGCCCCACCCTGCTCACCATCACCAGGCGAGTCAGCGTTGGCTTCTGAGCAAAGTGGAAGTCCTCTTGGTCCTTGATGCTTCTGATGGCCCTGGTCACCTGCACAACACCCTTCATGAAGGCCATTTTGAGGCTGATGTCCTATGTCCAGAAGAAGGATGGGAAGGGGATCCTGTCTGTGAGGGAGCTCCTAAAGAACCCGAGCCTGGGGACTCACTCCTGGACCCCTCTGCTCTGAAGAAGGTTCAATGTCGGGGATGCTCTGAGCAGGGGTCGGCTCAGTCTGTCCTTGAAGCACCTTGACTTGGCATCTGCCCCATTGTGGGGGATGCTGCACTGGACACAGCACCCAGACCCCAGAGAGGATGCCACTCCCCAAGCCTCCACATCTGTGCCTGAGGGCAGCAACGCAGCTCAGTGGCCTGCGGCAGAGACCCTCTGTGTCACCAAGCAGGTAGAACGAATTATTGACATACAATAACTGGATAATTACTCTATGATTCCACTTACGTGAGGAACCTGGAGTAGTAGAACTATAGAGCTGGAAGGTGGGACAGTGATTGCCAGGGTTGGGGGAGGAAAAGTGGGGAGCCAGGGTTTACTGGCGACGGGGTTTCCATTTTGCAAAATGAAGAATTCTAGAGAAGGGTGACGCTACACCGTGATGTGATGTATTTGTTGTCATTGAGCTGTTCCCTAAACATGATTACAATGGTCATTTGAATGTTGTGCGCATTTTACCATTTTTTCAAAAAATAAAAATGAAGTAACTTTTGCTTTACCCTGTTTTCTCCTCCCTATTTCAGGAAAGCACCCAGTTCCTTTGCATCTTGAAGACAAGCCCACTTCCTGTCTTTTAGGCAAGGCCTGGGCCAAGTATCAGGTGGACCAGAGATGAGGGCAGAGGGAGCAGGAGAACCTGGGAAGAGGCAGGGTTCACCCCACCCAGCTCTTGAGGGATGTCCCCTTCCTTCCCTATGTGACCCTGAAGAACTGGGAAGAACACTAGTCTGGGGAATGAGCTCCCCAAAGGCTGAGCACCAGGGAGGACTCCTGCCTGTCTCCTGGGCAGGGACTGCTCAGGAGGTGATGCAGGGCATGCAGCAGTGAGGCTCAGGGGAGGCACCCGGCCCCGTGTGGGTTACCTGGCAGCTGCTGGAGTAGTGGTGAATGATCTTAGCCGTGATGGGGGTGTCCACGTGGGAGAGGAGCATCTGGGGGTGGCAGTAAGAGGACACACAGCCGTACATCACCATGAGGGCACTCTTCACCGTCTCCCGCCTCCAGGGGTGGTCTTTCTGTGGGGCAGTGAGGAAGGGCAAGGCCCACTGGGGACGCAGGCTTTCCCAGCTCGCCCCTCCTCTGGGGGGGAGCAGCTGCAGAGTCACCAAGTGCCCCCACGACTGTGTCAGGGTGCCTGGCCCTGGTTCACACACGCACCAACATACTCATTTCCATCTGGGCTGAGCACCTACCATACACACCGGGAATGACAAGAAGCACTGAGCAAGACAGACCCAGGGCCCTGCCTCCCCCCAGGAGGCTTCAGTCCAGTGACAGACACCAGGACCACCCATCGGCTAAGGGAGGTTGAGGGGACACCCCTACCCAGAGGCTGCCTTTGTACTGCTTCACGCCTTCCCTGTAGGCACCTGCTCAAGGCCAATGCTCCTGAGCTGAGGACCCGTGGCCGGGCCTTCCTGGTGCTCCACACCCTCTGAGCGGGAGGAGCCGTGGGAGGCCAGACGTCCCTTGCACAGGACGCCGGGGCCCCACGCACTGCTAGCCTTGGGTAGGTCTGGGTCTCAGTCCTGCTGAGGGAGGAGCTGGAGCAGAAGCCAGGGACAGGCTCAATTCTCTCCATCCACACAACCAGACTCCAGGCAGGGGTGTGAGGTCAATGCCAAAGCCCAGGGCACTGACAGCAGATGGTTTCCTATGGTGGCTCAGCCAGCCTGCAGCATCGTCTTCTGAGGCTCCAGAGAAGGGACCTGGCTTCCCCTGTCCAAGTTTGTGCATGTGGACAAACTTCCATGTCCTCTTCTCTAAACAGTGGGACTTGATAAGGTAAATGCTATTGAATTCATAGGTGAGAAAAACACACAAGAAATGGAACCAGGGTTTAAAACCAAGCAGTCACATTCTGAGGCTCCTGTTCCAACACACGGCCCCTCCAGCATACACGGTCCACTTAGCACGTGGGTAGCGCCAACCCAACATCTTTGGTAGGAGCCTTGACCTTGATGAAGGTGTGAAGGAGTGCACAAGTGGCCTCTGGTTGGTGGTGTCCCCATCAACCTCCCTCCCTCACAGCTGATGGGTGGTCCTGCACACAGGAGGCTTCCACCTGGACTGAGGGACCCAGTGTTCAGGGACGACTGTTTGACAATATCTGGCTCCTGCAAAGGCCCTCCCTGTGCTCCTCACATGTTCTCAGTCGTCGAAGCAATGGGAGACACAGGGGAACGCGGCATACCAGCTGTGCTGTGCTCAGAGGCCCGGAGGCCAGAGTGGAGCGGGGGGCCTCACCCGCCAGGCACTGATCTGCCAGGACTGCTCCGACTCCTGGATCCTGTCCTCGAAGTCTTGGAGCACGTTGAGCACGGTCCTCGCCTGGCCCCGGGCACACAGGCCAAAGCATAGAACCACGCCCTGTGGGGAGACCCCGCCAGGCAGGGTGAGGGCCTGGGGCAGGGGGAGAGCAGGGGTGCGAGCACACGTGCACACACATGCATGTGCACATGAATGAACACACGTCCCCCGGGGTCCACAGGGGCCTGGGGGGTTTGAGGGGCTGTGGACACCCTCACCTCCTGGTCAAAGTCGTTGCTGTAGTCGGTCTTGTACAGCAGCTCCAGCAGCAGCAGCTCCACCTTGTCAGCCTCCAGCCCCATGGCCAAGGTGAAGCCCAAGGCCCGGTACAGAAAGCCCTGGAGAGTGGGAGGGAGGCAGGGAGCTCAGACCGCCCGTTCCCCCTCCAGGTGGCGCTGTTGCAGAGGGCTTCCTACACATCCCTCCAGATTTTTATCATTATTATTGATTATTATCATCTTATACTGTACATATATCTATGTGAGTCCTATATTCTTTAAAATAAGTATTCAGTTTTTTTTTCTGGAGGTCTGGTTGTATACAGGCAGGCGTGGTGTATCTCAGCAGCCTAAGCCAAATCCTCTCCCTAGTAAGTGGGGCCCACCGTCTCTCCACCCACTCCCTGACCCAGGGACGCTCAGTGAGTCTGGAGCATCCTCATGTCGACCTGCTTCTCTGATTACTAGTCACGTTGGCTGTCTTTCCGTGTTCTCCTCCTGAGACATACTACCCCTTTTAATTTCTGGCTGTATTCTTTCCCCAATTTTTCTAGTGGTTACTTTATTATCGTTATCTGTAAGAATTTTACTTTTATACTTGGAAGCATAAGAAGAATCACGTAATCCTCGCAGTAACTTGATAAGGTAAATGCTGTTGAATTCAGAGGTGAGAAAAACACACCGGAAGTGGAACCGGGCTTTAAAACCAAGAGGTCCCATTCTGAGGCTCCTGTTCCAACACTGGCTTATTGACAGCCCCAACCCGGGTCAGGGTTTTCAAGATGGTGGACTACAGGAGGTCGCTTTCCTGGCCACTCAGCGGAGTGAAACCAAGAAAGCATTTGGGCAGCTTCCGGGTGGGTGAGCAACAGCAACAACAGGAAACAGGGGAGACTCGTCTGGAATTTAAGCCGGACATTCAAAGCAGATCGGGGACTCGGGAGGTTGGCTATAATAAAATGAGGAAGAAACCCCAGGCCACAGCCACTGCACAGTCGGAGGCACCAGCCTGAGCAGTCCCTCTGCGAGCCAAGTGGCTTGGGAATTTTTAGGCCGCCCAAAGCATGTCTGGGTATGGTGAATTTAGAGATCAAAGGCACCACCCGACTAAACCCACAGGCACGGTGCACAACATCCTTGTGCAGGAAAGAAGCCCCTGTCTCTCCCAGCAGTGTGCGGAGACTGAGGAAGAAACCATGTTGCAGCTGCAGCATCAGGGCCAGCACCTGGGAAGCTGTTTTCTGGCAAACCCGAGTTTGGCCTGAAATGCAGACCTGGAAAACCCACACTGCACGACACAGTGTGCCTAAGTGACCAGGAGGAAATCAAACATGGAGAGAGGTTTACACAGGGGAGTACTGGACGTGAAAACCCACTCTGCTCTATCCCTCCACCTCCAACCTGGCTGCTTGCAGGATCGGCTGGAAGAGATGCACTTGGCCCGCAACTCGAAAGGGAAGGGCAGGAGAGATTGAGTTTGGAGACTGAATCACGCCCAGGAAACATGGGGTCCAGAGGTGACCCAGTGGACTAAGGATGGGCTCCTCCACCACAGAAATGGAACGCAGGGGAGATCCTGGGGTGCAGACTTCCAATGTGGACTGGCAATGGCTGGGCCCTGGAGGGGAGCTGATTTGAAATCTCCAGACCAACTGGTATTCAGCAAAGCACCTAGAGCCACCTGAGCCTAAACCCTGCCTCCAGGAATTCTGCCTATGGGATTACCTCTCCCACTCCAGCAACCCAGAGGGCGGAGCAGCACCCTCCAGAAGACCCCACCTAACACTGCTGAGAAGCTGGGAGTCTTGTGAACTCCAACAGGAACAATTCTTTAACTCTCCATCAAGATTTTTTTCTTTTCTGTATTTAATTGTGACCTTAATGGTTCATGGACATTTATACATTCCATTCACATGGAGCTCATAAACAAGCAGGGGTGTCTATCCTCATATCAGATAAAATGGACTTCAAGCCAAAGTTAATCAGAAGGGACAAAGGAGGACATTATACTGCTTAAGGGGATTATACATAAATAAGACATAACAAGCATAAATATTTATGCCCCAAACAATGGAGTGTGTGTGTGTATGTATATATGAAACAAACCTTTCTCAATTTTAAGAATTAGATAGACCACAACACAAAAATAGTTGAGTAACCTTAACATCTCTCTCACCACTGGATATATCCTCCAAACAAAAACTAAATAAAGAAGCTATAGAACTAAATCATTCAATTAATAATTTAGACTAAACAGACATATATAAAATATTTCATCCATCAATGATTGAAAACACTTCCTTCATAGCAGCACACGATTCTTCTCTAAAATAGTGTGGGGAGCCACTCTGAATTATTTGCTCTTTCCGTCCTGGAGCAGAGAGGCTCTGACTGTCACTACATCTCGAAGTGACCTGGACATCGCCCTGGTCCAGGAAGTTTGAGGGCGTGTCTTCAGATGTAGGCGGGTCACCCATGGATTGAGCTACACTCACCTGTTCCTTTGTAATATTACCCCTTTGCTCTGTTTGGGATAGAATGTTCCATGGAAACGCCCTTTGTGTGTTCCCTTCTCTTGCTCTGCCTTTGGGTGTGGCCTTCCTAGATGTCAGTCAATCTGCTGACAGCAGACATCATGAAGCTAGATTCAGCCCCCTGACACCTGACCCCTTGCCTTATTTGAATGGTTTCTCCTCAATAAAATGGTTCAGCATATGCTCACTCTCTCTCTTTCTGTGGACCCTTAAGGTCAGAGAAGCTGTCACAGGACCCCAAAGAAAAAAGTATCTCTGTCTCTTATGTGATTATTTCGTGCAACCCAGTTCACCTGGAGTGACCCTGAGTGTTTTTGTCATGAGGAACATGACAAAATAGACCATATCTTAGGCCACAATGCAACTCTCAGCAAATACAAAAAAACAAACAAACAATAAAAAGAAACAGAGATAACAGCTTGCATCCTATCAGATCATAATGGAATGAAATTAGAAATCACTAATAAAAAATAGAAACTATTCCAACACCTGGAAACTAAATTGCATGTTATTGAATGGATAGCAGAAGAAATCAAGCATGAAATTTAAAAATATAGAGGTAAATGAGAACAGCAATAAAACATATTAAAATCTCTGGGATGCTATGAAGGCAGTGCTAAGAGGAAAGCTCATTGTATTGAGATCATTCATTAAAAGAATAGAAAGTCAACAAATAAATAACCTAACATTATATCTTAAAGCCCTAGAAAAATAAGAACAAATTAATAAGAGCAGTAGAAGACAGGAAATAATTAAAACCAGAGCTGAAATCAATGAAATTGAAACAAAAGAAACAATCAAAAAAATTGACAAAACAAAAATTGGTTCTTTGAAAAAATAAAATATAGTTGATGAACCCTTAGCCAAGCTAATGAAGAGAAAGAGAAAAAAATTCAAATCATTAAAATTCACAATAAAAAAGGAAATATCACAACAGACATAACTAAAATACAGACAATAGTCTGAAACTATTTTGAAAATTTATATTCTAATAAAACCAAAAATCTTGAAGACATTGACAAATTTCTAGAAACATATGCCCTACCCAAATTGAATCAGGAGGACATAGAAAATTTAAATAGATCAATTTCAAGCAATGAAATTTCAAGCAATGATGCCATCAAAAGCCTACTAGGAAAGAGAAGCCCAGGATCAGGTGAATCTCAGCTGAGTTCTACCAGACCTTCAAGGGAAAACTAACACCAATCCTCCTCAAATTATTCCATGAAATAGAAAAGGAGGGACCCTTTCGAACTCATTCTATGAGACTAGTATCACCTGATACCAAAACCAGACAAAGATAAATCAAAAAAAGAAAAATTCAGACCAGTATCCTTGATGAACATAGATGCAAAAATTCTTAATAAAATACTGGCAAATCACATACAAAAAAAAAAAAACATACTCAAAAGTTGGTGCACCATGATCAAGTGGGGTTCATCCCAGGGATGCAAGATTGGTTCAATATATGGAAATTAATAAAGTTAATTCATCACGTCAATAGACTTAAGGACAAGAATTACATGGCTATCTCAATAGATGCAGAAAAAGCATTTGACGAAATGTAGCATCCATTCATGTTCAAAACACTAGAAAAACTAGAGATGATAGGAACATACTTCAACATGTAAAAGCTATCTATGCTAAACCCAAAGCCAACATCTTTCTAAGTGGAGAAAAACTGAAAGCATTCCCTCCAAAAACTGGAACAAGACAGGGCTGCCCTCTTTCACCACTTCTATTCAACATAGTCCTGGAAACTCTATTAAAGAGATATGATTTGGAAAAGAAGAACTCTTCCTTTTTGCTGACATGATTTATATTTAGAAGACCCAAAAACTGCACTAGAAAAAACTTATAGAAATGAATTAAGCAAAGTAGGAGGATATAAAATTAACACTCATAAATCAAATGCATTCCTAAACATCAGTGGTGAATCAACTGAAAGAGAAATTAGGAAAATAATTCCATTCACAATAGCCTCAAAAAAATATACTTGAGAATCAATCTAACAAAAGAAGTGAAAGTCGTCTACAATGAAAACTACAGAACACTAAAGAAAGAAAGTAAAGAAGACCTTAAAAGATGGAAAGATTGCCAGTCTTCTTGGATAGGAAGAATTAATATTGTCAAAATGACCGTAGAGATTTAATGCAATTAAATTAAATTAAAGCTTTATACAGATTTAATGCAATTCCCATTAATGTTCTGATGATGTTCTTCATAGAAATAGAAAAAGCAGTCATGAAATTTATTTGGAAAAACAAGAGGCCTAGAATAGCCAAAGCAATCCTCAGCAAGAAATGTAAAGCAGGAGGCATCACAACACCAGATCTTACACTATACTACAGAGCAATAGTTACAGAAAGAGCATGTTACTGGCACCAAAACAGACATGAAGACCAATGGCACAGAATAGAAGGCACAGAGACAAACCCACATAAATGCATAAGTGCACACAAAGGCACCATAAACATACATTGGAGAAAAGATAGCCTCTTCAACAAATGCTGCTAGAAAAACTGGAAATCCATATGTAACAAAATGAAATTAGACCCTTATCTCTCATCCTGCACAAAAATCAACTCAGAGTGAATCAAGGACCTAGGCTCTAGACCAGAGACCTGTGCCTACTGGAAGAAAAGTAGTCCCAAACCTCCATCATGTCAGTTTAGGACCAAATTCCTCAACAAGACTCCTAAAGCACAAAAGTAAGATCAAGAATCAAAAATGGGATGGTATCAAACTAAAAAGCTTCTTCACAGCAAAGGAAACAATCAATAATGACTCTACATAATGGGAGAAAATATTTGGCACCTGCATCTCAGATAGAGCACTAATATCCAGGATATAAAGAACTCAAAAAACTTAACACCAGAAAACCAAATAACCCGATTAATAAATGGCCAAAGGAACTGAACAGACATTTCACAGAAGAAGAAATACAATCGACCGACAAACATATGAAAAAATTGTTCAACATGACTAGCAATTAGATAAATGCAAATTAAAACTACTCTGAGATTTCATCTCATTCTAATCAGAATGGCAATTATCAAGAATATAAATAACAATAAATGCTGGTGAAGATGTGGGGGAAAAGGCACACTCATCCATTGCTGGTGAGACTGCAATTTGGTGCAACCACTATGGAAAGCAGTATGGAGATTCCTCAGAAAACATGGAATAGAACCACTATTTAACCCAGTTATCGAACTCCTTGGTCTATACCCAAAGGACTTAAAATCAGCATACTATAGTGATGCAGCCACAACAATGTTTATAGCAGGTCAATTTGCAATAGCTAAGCTATGGAACCAACCCAGGTGACCTTCAACAGATGAATGGATAAAGAAAATGTGGCCCATACACACAATGAAATATTACTCAGCCATAAAGAAAAACAAAATTATGTCATTGGCCAGTAAAAGAATGGAACTGGAGACTACCATGCTAAGTCAAAGAAGCCAATGCACAAAGATCCAAAGGCCAAATGTTCCTTCTGATATGCAGACGCTGATTCATAATAGGTGGAGCGGGGAGTGGAGGTTCACCTGATTGACTGGGAAGCATGGGGGGAAGGAATGGGGACTGGGAAGGGAAAGACAGTAGAATGAGCCGGACGTAACTCTCCTATGTTTATGTGGATCCATGACAGGTGTAACTCCACATCAGGTACAACATAGAATGGGAGGTTATACTCCACGTGTGTGTGATATGTCCAAACACATTCTACTGCCACGTACATCTAAAAAGAACCAACCATTTTTTTTTTTAAAGAAGAAAGTCTCAGCTAGACCCTTTCAGTGGACTCGTCCCTAACGCCCCATCTCCCCTGCGACCTCCTCCGTGGGATTTTGGTTCCTCACACGGCAGTTTTGATGACGGGGACGTCCACCCCTTCCCTCGCCTCCCCTGCTTTCTCTTTCACGCCTGTGCAGGCGATTCCACGTTAAAGCTGAGGTTGGGGCTGGGCTGGGCTCAGTGGATAGCGCTCGCCTAGCCCGGGCGAGGCGCTGGGTTCAATCCTCAGCACCACATAAAAACAAGTCAGTCATTAAAGTCGGGATGTCATCTGCAACTCTAAATGCTTTTCTAAGAAAGCCGTGCTGTCCCCTGGCTCTCTTGTGCACTGACGTCTTTGCTGTGTTCGGGGAGAAGAAACCCTTCCTCAACGTGCTTTCACACATTCTCAGGATTTTCTTTCATTTCTTCACTCAGGTGACCTTGGAAATATTCTTGTCGCATCCCATAAAGTCGTCACATTGCCACCAACGCCCCCTGAAGGACTCTGACTGGGAGTAAGTGACACCATTGCTCAGGGGAAACCAAGGTGGACCCCTTTGCACACTGAGGCTCCTGCTCGAGCACAGGAGCTACAGGAGCCGTGTCGCTGGCTCAGGTCTTCCTCACTTCCTGTCTCACCACTGTTCGTCACACTGGTTCCACCTATGTCACAAGTTCCCTTTTTTTTTTTGTACACAGAATTGAATCCAGAGGTGCTTAACCACTGAGCCACATCCCAGCCCTTTTCATATTTTATTTAGATAGGGCCTTGCTAAGTTGCTTAGGGCCTCACTAAGTTGCTGAGGCTGGCTTTGAACTCATGATCCTCCTGCCTCAGCCTCCCAAGCCACTGGGATTACAGGCGTGTGCCACCATGCCTGGCTCATATGCCCCTGATTTTATTTGTTTATGTGTCTCATCATGTTGGGACTTTGAATGGAGTCTTTTTTCACTTTATTTTGCTGTTACATTTGCATATTGGAAAGATGATTTTTTTTTTGGTTTTTGCACATTAATTTTGGGAAAGGACTGGCTGTACGCATCTGTCACCATCTACTCCCTGCTTCCTGGGAATGTCAGCAGGAGAGGGAGGACAGGGAGGGTCTCCATGGGGTTCCTTATTATGTTGTATCTAGTTGGGTTTTCAAGTTATCTGAGCCACTGAAATTCTTCTTAAAAATCTGTTTATTCACATATTTACTTGCTTGGGCTAGCTGAGTTACTGTGGCACGTTGAACTTCATGCACTTGCTTATTCAATGCCACCTACAACTTTTTTCAAATGGGCTTTAAATCATCCTACTTAACCATATGCATACAAAGCTACAGTGTTCAGCTAGTGGAAGAAATCTGTAAGGCACACTTTGCTGTTATTTTACACACTCAATTAGGAAGAGAACATATTTAACAAATAGAATTTGTGTTGGTAACTTAAAAACATTTTCTAAAACATCTAAATTGAGATACAGTTCATATGCCATAAAACTCATCCATCCAAGGCATACAAATTCAAGGGTATATTCAGAGTTGTGCAACCATCATCACATATTTACTTAAATTTAGAACATTTTGTCACCCCAAAAGGAACTCCATACCCATTTGTAGTCATTCCAAAGTCCTCCTGCCCCTGAAAACCACAAATCTATTTTTTAACCTCGAAATTTGTCTATTCTGAACATTTTATATAAATAGAATCATTGAGCACATGGTCCTTTGTGTTCCCTTGCATCTGGCTTCTTTGTTTTCATGATTCACTTTAGAGGTGGTATGTATTAGTACTTCCTATCTTTTCACGGCTGAATACTATTCCATTGCATAGATGTACCATTTTCGTTTATCTGTTCATCCACTAAGGGACATTTAGGTTGTTGTCACCTTGGGGATATTGATACAATGAACAATTAATGTATAAATTTTATGTGGACATAGGTTTTCATTTCTTCTAGCTGTGAATGATTAGGAGTAGAATTGCTACATCATATAGTAACTATGTATTTACCATTTTAACAAAATGCCAAACTATGCTCCAAAGCTGTTGCACCAATTTATATCCCTCCCAGGAACAAACAAAGCAACATATGAAGGTTCCATCTCTCCACCCTTGACAACAACGCATTATCATCTCTTTTTTGTCCCAGTGGGTATTAATTGACATTTTTTTGTGGTTAGGATTTCTATTTCCTAATGGTAGTAGTGACTTTGAACATTTTTCGTGTGATTACTGGCCATATATACATCATCTTTGAAGAAAAGTCTATTTACATTCCTTTTTCATTTTTAGTTGACCTGTCTTTGTATTAATAAGTTGCTGTGTGTGTGTGTGTATGCACAAGTGTGTGTGTGTGCACATACTGTACAAATGTTTGATTTGCAAATATGTTCTTCCATTCTGTGGGTCATCCTTTCAATGGTATTATTTTCAGTGCAAGAGATTTTAATTTTTATGATGCTCATTCTATTTTTTTTTCTTTCTCTTATCACCTATTCTTTTCTTATGTCCTATCTCAGAAGGTCTTTCCTAGCCCAAAGTCATGAAGTCTTATGCCGAAGTTTTCTTCTAAGAATTTTACACTTTAAGCTCTTATTTTTGCCAACTACCCATTCTAATGTGTGTGTATGGTGTGAGGAAGGGGTCCAATTCCATTCTTTTTACACGTGGACATCCAGTTGTTCTAGCACCATTTGTTGAAAAGATTATTCTTTGCCTGTTGAATTGTCTTGGCACCCTTATTGAAAAATCTATTCACCATAAATGTGAGAGTTTATTTCTAGACTCTCAGTGCTATTTCCTGTCTATCCTTATGTGAGGACCACCCTGTCTTACTTACTGCAGCTGGGTCGGAAGATTGGAATCAGGAAGTAAGTTTTGTTGGCTACTCTGGGCCCCTTGCATTTTCATATGAATCTGAGGATTAGATCATCAGTGAACGAGGGGGCGGGAAGCTAACTGGGATTACGGAGGAGTTGAATCTGTACATAAATTTGGGGAGAATCACCATCTTTATAATCCTATGTCTGTGAACACAGGTGCTTGCCACTTATTGAGACCTTCCCTGATTTCTTTCAACAATTGTTTAGTTTTGTACAAAAAAAGGATTTTCAAATCATTTTTCATGTGATTACCAACCAGAATCTGGAACATAAACAAATCAAAGACCCAGATGGAACAGAACAAAAAATTAAGACTCCCTGGACTATTCCAACCGCCCCTTCTCCCAGGAACTGCAAACAGCCAGGGTCCTGCTGGTCTCCCGCACGTGGGGACCCTCTGCACTCCCCATTCCCTATCCAAATGCTCTGTGCTGTGGGGACAAACCTTTTCCAAAGAGGGGCTATCAAAGCTCCCGATCTGGTTGTTCAGCTCCTTGCTCAGGCGCAGGCTCCAGCTGGTCCCCTGCGTTGTCTTGAGGGAAAGTCTCAGAAACTGGGGAGAAAGAAGATGCATGGACACCAGCCCTGCTCCCTGCTGGGCCCTGGGAATGCTGTATGATCTTGAGTAATGGCTTGCCCTCTCTGGGTATCCTTCCTCAAATCTCTCGCTCACAGTCCATGGAGCCCCAATCCAGCACGAATGCTTGGTGTCTGTGGGTAGGGGATGGCTGTGCCTTTGGCGGCTGGCAGGACAGATGCCACACTGATGCATCCCCAGGCGCTGGGTTCTCTGGGGTCTCCCTGATGAGAGATTATAGCTAGGGACGTTATGCTTTCCAACTCTTCTCTGACAGAAGGAGAACATGTCCTTTAAGGGACCCTAAACCTCGCAAGCCAACACCACCAATGCCCTCCCATCCACCGGCTCTCCTGCCTGTCCAACCCCACCAATGCCCTCCCATTCCTCAGCTCTCCTCCCTGTCCAACCCCACCAATGCCCTCCCATCCACCGGCTCTCCCACCCATCCAGGTCTCAGCAGCCTGGCCGCCCTTACCTGAATGAGCTTGTCTTCCCAGGCCTTCTGATTCCAAGTGAACTCTGTGTGTTCTGTGGGGGCACACAGCTGGTGGCACGGGCTGCCCCTCTGTCGTCCCTGGTCAGCACCCTGCTGCCACCCCAGGCCTCCACAAGAGCCCTTGGCCAGCAGCACTTCCCTCCCCACCTCCCGCTCCTTGGCCAGCTCTCAGGACCAAAGTAGGCCACGTGGGTCCACCTGGAGCTTAGGTTCCTGGTGCCCAAGCCGTGCAATCTGTGCCCAGTGAACACACGAGGTGGGCACCTCACCTTCCAGGTACCGGATCAGCAGGGGGATCTCCTGCTCCCACACACTGGCCATGGTGGGCGCAATGCTGTGGCTCAGGGTCCTCAGGAGTTGCAGCATAGCGATCCCACGGCCCTCCCCCTTGTAGGGTGACGACATCAGCACCTGCAAAATACCAGGTCATGAGCGCAGCAGGGCCTGACACCTCCCTCCGTCTTGGGGTTCATGCCCTCACTGTAAGTGGAGGTGAAGGTGGGCGGTTTTCAAACAGAGTCCAAGGATCTCCAGGACAGAGAGGCCCTTACAGAGAATGCTGATGGGGGTGGGGCAAGAGAGGCCAGGCCTGGCCTCCTCATCCACCCCAAGCCTCAGTGGAGCATGGATTATATCCACAGGACAGACCCCTCACCCTCACCCCCAGGGGCAGGCAGCCCATTGATAGTGTCCTGGAGATGCTCTGGGCAGAGGAAGCTCGGTTGGCCATCTGAGCACACTGCCCCTGCCACTTCTCCCCAACAGGGACAATAGGGGTCTGGGACACTCTGTCCTGCTAAGCACCCAGCTCCCTCATTGCACCCTGGCTGTCTGCTCCTGGGGCTCAGGGAATGAACAGTTCAAGAGAGAGGCACCACAGGGCATAGCCTTGCCAGGCCCGGGCATGTGCAGGTCAGCCACTCACCAAGAGACGGGCCAGCAGCTTCTGAGGTGCAGGCAGGTCCACTGAGGAAGGAGATGCAACTTGAACTGAGGCTGCCCATCCCATACCAGGACATGCCCACATACCCCGAGGGGGACTTGACCCTGGGAGGTGCCTTCCCAGCATGACTCCATCCAGAAACTGGGTCAGCACAGGGGACTTTCCAATAAAGAACATCATTATAGTTGACTCAGCACAAGGGAAACTCATGCTGATGTGCTGAGTGCAGGAGGTACTGTATCAGACCTTACCCCTGGGTGGTCGTTGCAATGGTTACCAGACTTGCCATGATAGTGTTTTGTCCCCTATTGTGAACCTTGGATTCCCTTGAGCCAGCAGTAATTAGAAAGCCTGCTCCCACCCGACCGGTCCCCTGCAGGCTTTGGGAGTCAATGAGCCCATGCAAAGCAAACTCACGGGACTTGGATGGATAAACAAGGGAGGGGCCAGGCCTGCTAAGAAGTTTCAGGTGTTGGAGCCCAGGAGAGGACCCAGTCCCAAAGTTAAAAGGGCCATGAGGAAGACCTCAGGGGGCCAGCTAGGCAGACCATGGATCCTGAAGGCCTAACTAAATTACCAACATCACTAGTCACAGCCATCCCTGTGAAGCCCCAAGCCCGTGAGAGCAGCCCCCTCAGCACTAGAAGTGGGAGGGAGGGGGACAGAGCAATCCATAGTAGATGGGCATAGCTGCTTTTCCGAGAGTCTGGTGTTAACAGTGTCCACCCTGGGGTGGACCATCATGGGGTCAGTTTACAGAAGACCTGGATGAACAACTATAGTCCCTCTATCTGACTCAGAGAGGTCAGACAGAACAGAGACCCAGAAAGACCACACCTGGAGAGAGCCTGAGCAGGAGGCCCCCAAGGTGGGGTCTGGGCCAGGGGTGTGGACTGGGGACATGGGGACACGAAGAGTGTGCTACCAGGAGGAAGTTCCACAGGACTCCAGCACCTCCTCAGATACGGCAAGGTGCATTCTGGGCGCTTCCTAGAGAATTTTGTTGAGGGGACTTGGGGAAGGGTGACAAGGAACAGACCCAGCAGCCAGGTCCCACCAGCGGGCTCAGGGCTCCTGCTCACCGTGTTTGCACTTGCCACTCATGCTTGCTTCTGCGTACTTGCTGTGGAGCTGGCGCTCGGCCAGGTTCGTGAGGCTGATGCAGATGGGTGTCAAGGCCTCCGTGTAGTCTGTCTCCATGATGTAGCACAGGAGCCGTACCCAGAACTCCTGGGGTGGGCAGGGGAAAAGGAACCCAGGACCAGCTGGAGGCATCCCATGGCCATCCAAGACTGGCAGGCTACATGCACAGCATAGGCCCCAGCCAACTTCCCCAGAGCTGGCCTCAGACACCACTGACACACTCAGCCCACACTGACTCCTGCCAGCCCAGCCTTTGTCAGGAGGGTCTCGGTGGCATTCACCCAGCTAGAGCTGTCTCACACCCTGCCTGCCAGCCTAATACCAGACCTACACCCATACACTGTCTTTGTCTAGGCCCCTTTCCTGACCCCAAATCCTCTGGAGTTGCATGCTGGGCAGATGACCCAGCTGTGCTTGCCAGTTGTGACAGTCAGATTTACATCCCCTCCTTGATACTTTTATAGTAAATTTTTCCTATCTTATTGCTATGTCACATTTCATTGCAATTGAAAGTTGTTTCTCTATAACTCTGGGTTCCCTGTGATCATGTTGAGTCCTCCTCCTAGCCTGTACCTTCACGTCTTTCACGCAGCAGGAACTTGCTAAATGCTCATGGACTGTTTCCTTACACACATACACAAACACACCCACAAAATACATGGCTCTGGAATTGGATTTTGAAGGGAAAGAGCTCAGGAAGTGGAAGACAAAGACCCCCCCAAACCCCAGCTGCTGCAGACAGTGAGCATGGAAGAGGTGAGAGTGCAGAGCCACCGCATGCCCATTCCTCTCCAGTCTTCCAGGTGCGGACAGGAGCCATTGGCTCTACCATGGCGGCTGGCTGGGCAAGGAGTGGACTCACATTGGTCATGCCACTGACAGAAGAGGTTATGATCTTCACGGTGTCCATGGTGACTTTGTGGACCATCTTCTCCTCCAAGTCCCTCTGATAAAAGTTGTCCCAGTGATTTGTCTGGAAGACAGAACGAAGGGCCCCTGCTGGAGGGCTAGCAGAGGTTTGCTGTGGTCTCAGGGGTGGTCTTCTTACTCCCCTGGGGAATCCATGCCCAGACACTGGTCTCCCAGATGCTCCCTGCTATGCACAGGTCTCCTGCCTGTGTGTCTCCTGCACACACCTGGACCTCTGGGCTTACTGTGCCCCTATGCCCTTGCGTCGTAAACACAGGTCCATAAAGTAGCATTCATGCTCAGTGCTTTGGAGGCATTTCCAAAGTCCATCTGCTCCATGGTGTGCATGTCAGGGTCACTCACCAGCTTGTAGGTGGACAGGGTCAGCTGCACAGACACGTATTTCAGGCCCCAACCTTTGATCTGGTCCTGGTAGCCTGACAGAGCCAACTGGCCGATGATGCGGAGAATAGCCATCCTCACCTGAGGGGAACAGGGCCACGGTTTGCTGGTGTGGGGAGGGCCCCAGGGCAAGAATTCAGCACCCAGTACCCAGTCCTGTCGGGTGAGACATCTGGGAACTGGCACTGCTAAGGGCTGGAAAGGGCTTCAGGAGCCACCTGGCTCCTGCCCACTCTGGCAACCACGCCTCATCCCATCTGGGGGACCCACCCTGCGGTGTGCCCGTGTTGAGACACACCTACTCCCACCCTCTCTGACATGTGGTGGCCCATCTTAGGGGTCTTGGGGGGTGGGGGGAAGGCCCGTCTTTCATCCTGGGCTCTCTGGGCTTACTCCAGTGAGACTCGCTACGCAGAGGAGAAGGAAAGCCAGCACGATCCCCCTGGAAGCCTCCAGGCATTGAAGATCTCCTCTCCTGACACCCATGTTCCTTGCCCATCTCCCTCACAACCTCTGTGCTGTCCCCCCCCCATCCTAGTTACCCCTTCCCAGCCCACAACTGGACCGAAGCTGCCTCCCCCCCAGTGGCTGAGGCTGCCCTGGAGCTGGGGCTGTGGTCCCAGCTCTTGTTCCTGGGGGCAGGGGTCCTCTGTGGCTCTCTTCCCAAAGCCACACCGCCATGTGGCTGGAGCCAGCGCAGCTCAGCTGGGCTCTCCTCCAACCTGGTGGCCGTGCCAAGACACGGCCCTGAAAGCTCCTCAGTGACCACCAGGGCCTCTGAGCAGAGCCGGCTCTATCTGCCACCCTCTCCTCTGGGCCTACTCAGGACTGGGTGGGAAGCCGGGGCTTCCATCAAGGTCTCCACCCCAGAGAGCTGGTTCCCTGACGGGGTCCCCTCGTGCCATCTCTCCCAGGCTCCTGCCCTGTTACCTTGGACCGTGCATCAGAGAGGGTGTTCTTGACCACCCGAATGGCCAAGTAGATGGTCCTAAGACTCATTTTGGGGTCTGAAAAAGGAAGACCGGTCTGAGGTTGGTGGCTCAGGGAGACGACAGGTGGCCTCTCCCTGTCACCTCCCCTTAAATCCCTTCCAACATCCCAAAGACACTTTCTTAGAATGTCTCTAGCCAGGCTCCCTCTGGGCACAGCATCTCCTCATACCGTCCCCAGTAGCACCCTCCCTTGAGGCCCAGGCGGCATCGGTTCACACCTTGTCCCCTTGGCTACAGGCCTCCTTTGACCCCGGTACCCTCTCCTTAAGGCAAGGTCTCCACGCGAGAGCGTGAACCCTGCCCTGAATCCCTGCAGCCGGGCACACCACCCTGGGCACACAGGGCGGCAAAACTCAGCAGTGAAGACTGTGGACTGGTGCCAGGCTGCCTGGCTTCAACCCTGCCTCCACCACAGTCCAGCTGTGTGGCCTCAGGTGCACTGCTGAGCCCTTCTGTGCCTCTGTGTGAACGAGAACAGTGCCACCCGCACAGAGCCACTGTGAGCAGGAACGTGTTAACACCGTGCCCAGCGCACCATGGGGCTGTGTGCGTGTGTGCGAGTCAGACAACTGATAGCAGATACAGAGAAGGAAGATTAAGTGAGGCAAGGAAGAGAAGGTCCTGGAGCCGTCTGGAAAGGAAGTACAACAAGACGTTCAGGGCTTGGAGTCACCTAGTCACCACTGGGTAGGAAAAGAGGAAACCAGGGCGGGTAGAAGGTGGCAGGTAAGAGAAGGGCACAGTTTCAGGTTTTCGCCTCTAAGATGGAAACTCTACTTCTTCTGAACGTGAAATTTGTTCATGTTCATTGCGAAATTAAAATAAAAGACAACCACTCTTCACAGGGTCAGTGTGCCCAGAGCAGATCTCCTTTCTGCACCCGAGGCCATGGCATATGCCCTGCCCCGCACTGTGATGCTGTGCTTAATACCGACAGAGCAGCTTTGCCATGGAGAACTAGGGACCCACTCCACCTCTTAGTGGTGTATAGCATCCCATTATGAAGATACACTGTAATTTATTCCAAAAATTCCCTGCAGAAAAACACTGCAGCTGTTTCTGAAGTTTTGCTTTAAGCACAATGTTTTAATGGACATTCATGTCAAATCACCTTTGGCAATTATTTCTTTCACATAATTGACAAAATGCTAGATTATTGAGCCCAAGGTTTGGCCCTGATTTGATTGACCATCCACAGTCCATTATCAGTTAAAATCTCTTCCAATGAAGTATGGAGAGCTGGTTTCTTGTTGGCCTAGACCAGGAATGGGAAAAGCAGAGCCTGCAGTCTAATCTTTTTGTAAGTCTAGTTTTGTTGGAACGTGGCCAGCTCAGCAGTCTACGACTGCTTTAACTCTACAATGGCGGAGGTGAGAGATGCTTGTCCATACGGCCTACAAAACTAAAAATACCTTTGCTATGTGGTCTTTTACAGAAATGCCTAGGCCAACTCTAGCCGTCATCCTTAGCATCTCTGTCCATGGACTAGGTAAACAGGATCTCATTGTTACTTAAATTTGCATTTATTTAAGAGAGAAGGTTTAATGTGGGTGAAGGTGCCTCACATCTAGTTACCTACTTTAGAACCCTAGAGAGGCTGGATCCGGAGTCCCTCAGCACTTCCCAGCCCACAGTCTGCACTGCACAGAGGCATGCAGCTTCAAGGCCAAGCGGTTCTTCCAACCATTAAGTACCCTCAAGGCACACGCGGTCCCAGAGGGCACTTTGTTCAAACTCATAGGTGCCATGTCAGTAGGGAATTGGTGGGGAGATCTGTTACCTTGATACCAAGGCCAGGTTTGGAATTGGGGCTCAGGGATTAGAAAGAGGTTAAGGGTAGGCATGGAATCCATGGGCCACTGTGGTCATGCCCACAGGTGTGGTTATACTGTAGATCTGGCCTTTGGACCCCCTTTAAAGGTCCATAGGGAAATCCAGACTCAGAGGCTGGGGTGGGCCAGAGTGCTGGTTAGAGTCACAGTTAGAAAAATAAGGAGCCACTAAGAGACATGGCTCCCTGGGGCCACAGCAGTGTCTCTAAGGGGCAGAGGCAGTGGCCCAGACGCACACACACCCCCTCTGCCACCCCACCTGCCCACTGATGCTCACCTTCCGCGCTCACCACAGCCCGAATCAGGGTCAGTGTCCCCACGCGGATGGCCTCCTTACCCACCTCCATCTGGCTGAAGAAGAACTTCATCAGCTCCTTGGGGTAAGAGCGAGCTGTGGAGTGGAATAAGCCCCTTCGTCACTCCCTCTGGCCTTGCTGGGACTCGGTGAGGCTCCCGGCAGACCTGCGGGCAGGGGCGAGGGCCCTGTGGCCGAGGCTCACCGAGGGCTATGAAGCAGTGCACAATCTCCATCAGGTTCTGGCTGCTGTACTGATGCTGGGCTGGGGCCTTGGTGCACACCTGGGGACGGGGATGCAGGGAGGACAGGGGAGATCTCAGGGGCAGGAGACACAGGCAGCCCAGCCTGACTGTGCCTGCACCCCGCAGGATGCAGGAGGCTCAAGAGTGAGCCAGGGCGAGGCCACCTCCTGCAGCTGCTTCCTGCAGACCCACCCTGAGGTCGCAGCTGAGCTTGCCGGACTCACCTGCACATGCAGCTCCGAGAAAATGGGGTTTAGCTGCATTTGGGGGATGGGGGTGTTGGTGACAACCGACACTTCCAGAATCTGTCTCAAAACCTGCAATGGATGGACAAATGGTTGCAGGTGGCCTTCTACCAACTCAGGGTCAGACTAGGTGCTTGCTACTCTGTGGGCCATTGACTGGTGGCTCCAGCCTCCCCAGGGGCTAATTAGAAACACAGACCCGCTGGTAATCCCCACCAGGCCCAGGTGATTCCCACACACAGTGAAGCCTGGGAAGTGCCCGTGCTGAGCACATTCTGAACACATCACCCAGGCCTGTTCATCTTCCTTTTGCTAGAAAGATCTATGGATGGTTCCCCATTTCCATCACTTTCATTTCTGCTTCTTGCTTTTGCAGCTAAGTGCCAGCCTTGTTTGTGGATGAATGACCCCTTTACAGTAGCCGTCAGCCCAGACCATGCCTCCACTTGGAACCCGGCAGCATCTCCATCTCAGATGCGCCAAAGGCTGCTGCAGGTTGAATGGTGTCCTCCCCAAATCCACATCCACCTGGAACTTCAGAATGTGACCTTATTTGGAAATAGGGTCTTTGCAGACATAATTAGTTAAGGATCCCAAGACCCTTGCGATTCCTAATCACAGCAGTCCTACTAAATTGACACAAAGGCCATGGTCCCCTAGGGCCTTCCAAGACCCTTCAGGGCTGGTGCCTTCCACCTGGAATGACAGAGTTCATTTTCCATAAACCCGACAAGCACCAAGCTCCTCAGCCCCTTGTAGGTACAGATGTGGGGTCTGTTGATAGGACATCAAAATATGTGCGTCCTCACCTTCCACCCAGATGACTCCCCTGGACACTTGGGGACCCAAACCTCCTGGGCCTTCTGCCTCACCTGTGTGATGAAGATGGCCTCCAGGCTGCCCTGGTACTCGGCCAGCAGCAGGGGGATGTAGTCGTAGACCTGCTCCCGCAGATCATCGTTGGGCAGGAGGAGGCTCAGCATGGGCTTCAGGGACTTGACAACCCCCATCTTCACCTGCCCAAGAAATGGGGTCCCCAAAGTCCCAGCTAGGCCCGTGATCTCAGCCCCACCCACTGACTCCAAGGACACAGAGGAGGACGGACCTGAGGCAGAGTGGGACCCAAGGCTGCAGGGACAGTACAGCATGGCCACACTACCCTGGGGTCCCACCTACAATCAGGTAACCTCCGGTGGGTACAGAACCTCTGTGGGCCTCAGTTTCCTCGTTAAAATAGTCCTAGTCCCTAGAGTCAGAGTGGAACTAGCTCCTGCGGACAAGACAGAGGACACCCGCACGTCGCACTGAAGCAAGGAGCCCACATCTAACGTCTCTCAGGGGCCTTTACAGGGTCCAGCTCACGAAGCAAGCTAGGTGGGTCCATGCGGCTAAGCACCCTCCACGTGGCTAGCTCTGCCCTTCCGTGGGTCACAGCTTCTCTAGCCCCTAGAGAACCCTAGAGAGGCTGGACCCGGGGTCCCTCAGCACTTCCCAGCCCAGTCTGCTGAGTGTGGCAAAGGGGAACAGGTGCCCTGGAAGGGCACAGCTCACCTCGGGGTTGTGGTGCCTCAGCCACACGGTCACGAAGTAGCGGTATATGGGGAACAGCTTCAGAGCAAACTGCTCCTCGGTCATCACGGGGTACATGCTGTCCTCCAGGTGCCTCAGGTAAAACTGCACCGTCTCACAGAAGGTCTCCATGGCTGCCGGCAGCAGAGGTGGCGGATGGGGCCAGAGGGGCCGGAAGCAGAGCCAAATCTTCCTAGCCCATCTCTGGGTTGCTGAGACCCTCCCCCCTTCTCACCCCCTTCTCACCCCCTTGGCTCCCCAGTTGTGCCACCTGGGTGACAGTCGAGCACACAGGGGTGTCCAAGCCCCTTGCCCTTGAGGCAGGGTCTGAGGTGGGGCCTGGAATACGACTCTCTTCCCACGTCCTGGGGATTCCCATGCAGAGCCCAGCAAACACGCTCGACCCTCCTTTTCTTGATCATCAAGAAAATAAATGTTAAGTCATCCGTGCTCTGGGCAAGCTGATCAGATTTAAATTGCATTAAAGACATGACCGAGTCTAACCTAAAGGGAGAGGTTTCCCCTGACATCCCCTTCTTTGAACGTCCACCCCCTCTCTGGTCTCAAATGCTGAACTACAGAGCAAGCTACAGAGGCACACGACGGCCTCTACCCCCTATGCCATGGTCTTGTAAAAGGCCTCCATGTGTCTCAGCCACCTGACCCCAGGAGACCGATCAGAGGCCAAACAGACAGGAGACTGAGCAAATGTCTGGGGAAATGAAGAACCTACCTCTTGCTCAAGATTCCTCTACCTTCTCCTCACCCTGCGGCCCCCTCCCTGACTCTGACCAGGACAGACCCACAGACACACGTGGACACGCACCGCTACATATCACCTGGCGCATCTTGGCTTCGTTGGCCAGCCTCAGCATCGTGAATATGGTAGCCAGAGTGATGCCCATGTATGGCATGAACTCAAACACTGCGGGATGGGGACAGAGGTCACAGAAGTCACTGCAGGGCGGAGCCAGGGCAAGGCCGAGAGGAAAGTCCCACTGCCTACCGCCTCCAGTCCCTGACAGTCCAGATCCAGGGAACCCGAACCTCCTGGGGCCTCAGGAAGTAGCGTGGGATTCCACCCTGTGTGAAAGGAGGGGGAAGGACGTGGGGAAGGAGGAGGAGGCAGGCAGGAGGAGGGGAGGGAGGGGAGGGAGGGGAGGGAGGGGCAGAGCAGGCCACGAGAGGCTGGGGACAGGGGCCAAAGCACCACAGAGAAGCAGGGGAAAAGCAGAGGCGCAGTCCAGGCTCCTGGAGCACATCGGGCCCCACGGAGGGTCCCCGGGGTGTGCAGAGAGGAAGTGTAGAGAGATGGAAGAAAGGGGACCCGTGACAGGGTCATCCTCCAGGAGGACTTGTCCCTCCCTACGAGCCCCACCCCGCCTCCCACACTGACAGCACCTCCCGCCAACTTCTTCAGACTTGGAGCAATAGAAACCAGGTATATTGATAATAATGAAGTAAAAAGGCCTACGTCCCCCGGGGGCTCCCTTTCTCCGGGATCTTTGGCAGCAGCATCCACAGACCTAGGCCCCTCCGTGCCCCTGCCGGCCGCCCGGCTGCAGCCCCTCCTCTGTTGGCCTCCCACAGGCCTCGGTGCCCAGCACCCAGGCAACTCCTGCGCCTCCTCCAGCCTCGCCCACTGGCCCTCTCAGCAGAAGTGGACACATGGGGTGCTTTGGCCCTTCCTGAATTGCAAGGACTTGCGGCTTTTGACTTGACAGTGGTACAAAGTGACAGGCATTCAGGAGAATCTGTACTTCCAGTTTTGAAAGTGGACCTTCTCCTAGGCTAGTGACATGGGGCACTACTCTCCTGTAATGCTGGGAGCCACAGGCCACCAGCAGCTCCCAGTGGGTTTGACAGGCACCAGGGGAAACGACCAAGCTCTACGGTGCCCTGTGTCACCAAGCCACGGTATTCGGGAGGTTAGGTGAATTGTTTGGACTTAGGACGTTGTCCACCTGGATGGGGCTGTCGGAACTGAGGAGCAGTGTGCTCTCCCCAACAGGCCTCAGGACTCCACCTTCCTCCCTTTCCTCCTGGGGCTTCTCCATGTTGGGCTCCTCCAGGCTGGGTCCTTGTCCCCAGTTCTTCCCGCTCTACCTTTACTCTCTGGGTCCCAATGGCTTTGAATGCCACCTGCCATCACAGGCTGCTGGGAACAGAGGGCAGACCTGCCCTCTGACCTGTACATCCCGAAGTCAGCTGCCCACGTGGCCTCTCTGTCGAGACATCTCTCAGAACCACATTTCTTGATTGGAGCCCTCCTGCTCTTCTAGTGCTTCGCATCTCAGGAAGCAAACCCAGCCGACACACAGCGCTTGGCCCCTCTGGGCCTTCTCCCCCCACACAATGCACCTCCACGTCCCACCTGCCAGGGCCATCTCACGACTATCCACCGCTCACCGAGGGCATGGCAGCCCGAGCCACCTTCACCTCCTACCACACCCCCAGACACACTCCAGCCAGAATGGTCATCCCGGAACCCAAATGTCACCAGACAACAGCTGCTTGGAACCCTTCAGAAGCTCCGGTGTCCTCAAATAAAGTCCAGACTGCCCACGGCCACCGGGCCCTGCCTACCTCTCCCCTCACTTGTGCCCATCTCCCCCAGCTTCCCAACTCCAGCCCCAGCCACGTCTTGGTTCTTCAGATGATTCAAGCTCTTTCCTGCCACAGGGACTTGGCGCATAGTGTCCCTCTGCACGTGGAATCTTCTCCTCTACCCTCTGCTTTACCCAGACATCCTCTCGTCTTTCGGGTCTCTGCCTAAATATGGCTTCCCCACCGAGGCCCTACAGGATGAGAGCCCCTGCCCTCACCCTGGTCTCCAACGGCCACTAGGATCTCCCTGTCATGCCCTTCAGCTCCTGGTAGGAGGTGTTTGCCTGCTTACGGCCACTCCTGAGGACAAGGGCCATGGGTGTTCGACTCATCACTGAGGCAGCGCCCACCGCAGGGGTGAAAGGAGAGGGAGGGAGAGAAGGAAAGAGGGAAACGGAGATGGGAAGACAAAAACTGAGGCAGGGAGAGGAAAAGGGGGGGGGCAGGGATAAGACAGAAGTGAGAGGCTGAGACTGAGAGTCCTGAAACCTGAGAGACACAGAAGCCACGGAGAGGAAAAGGCGAGGAAAGAAAAGAGCCATGGAGACACAAGGACCGGGGCGAGGCCAGAGGGCAGAAACTGGGCCCAACCCACCGTTGCCATTGGCCAGCTTGGCCAAGGTGACGACGACAAACTCGTCCGTGAGGTGGAGGGGCTTGAGGTGGTGCTGCAGCTCATACATGACCAGGCTGAAGTGGTTCCGCGACAGAGCCACCAGCGTGTCACTGGCCACCTCTGCCTTTGTGTAGCCCTCCACCTGCAGGGGATGGGATGGGGGCCACCTGTGGCGAGGACTTCACAAACCCCTAGGATCCCACGCCCACTCCATCCTCCTGGCTCGGGCTCAGCCTTCCCCCACCCAGCCCCGACCCAGAAGTGACTGCCCCAGGGCCTTGGGCATCCCCAGCCCCCCAGAGGCCCCCAGCTCCTGGGCTGTGGGGGGGAGGCATGATGGAGCCCAGCCAGCTACCTCGGAGATCTCCCTCATCTCCTTGGAGGCAACGGAGACCAGCCTCTGCACACACGGCTCCTCCAGCTCCCCCTCCTGCTGGATGATCTCCTGGAGGATGTTGTAAATGTTGATCTTGCGCTGGGTGGAGATCTGGGAGAGAAGCAGGCAGGTGGGAAGGCCCTGTCTGTCTGGGAAGGACCCCGCCCTGCCCCAGCACCCTGTGTTCACTTCCTCTCCCTCCCTCTCTTCTCCATCAGAATCCCATCCAGAGACGGCCACCACCAACCTCCAACCACCAGGTCTCCGCCTCCATGTCTCCCTCTTCCCTCCCACCCATCCAACCGGCCCTGTCCATGCGACTTACAAATGGGTTCTCTTCCCAGTTTTGGCCAATAGCCAGCAAGGCAGGTGTCAGATGGTCAACACACACAGTCCTCCCCACAACTAGTACTGCCCTTTTAAAAGACCCCAAATAGCTCTTCACCCTGATGGGGGAACTTTGAGACCCAGAAACGTGTCTCTTCCTCTCTTTTGATTCTTACGTGGGCAAAATTTGGCACCATTTAAAATAACCTGCCTTAGGATGAGATTGGATAGATGGATTGTGCACCAAGACCATACCTGGACCGTCATGCAAGGGTCAGATATGAAAAGGCACGCTTAAGGAACGAGAGTTCTGGAGAATGCCTCATGTGGTAGAAAGTCCAGAAATCTCAGAAAATCTGGGGACCCTCAAGAAGAGGAATTCACTCAAATTTCTTAGCTCTTCTGCTGACATCCAACACGAAAGTCTTGGCCTTGGTTTCCTAGTCTTGGGGTAGCAACTAATAGAGTTTCCTAAAATTCCAATCAGCAATCGCTTTGGGAAAGTACCTGGATGGATATTAGTGGTGTGGCTTTAGTCATTGCTCAATACTGTATATCTCCAGACCAGTATTTCTCAACTATTAATAGTAGTTGGTAGTAGTAGCAGCAGTCTTAGTACCCACTTAAGGAGACTTTTTAGCCATTTTTCCCTAAGTGTTCCCCCAACAAAACTTGAATAGCACAGTGCTTGTCCACATGTCCATGCTTCATATATAAATGTAGAACTTCCTTCATCCCAGTGAGAACACTGGGGGCAACATCACACCATTGAGAACGCATGCTCTAGGTTTTCAAGGCAAGTTCAAGGAGGTCTATACACTCTATAAATAGCCAGGTAAGAGACAGCAAGACCAGCCTTCATTTGTGATCAGGGATAATCAGTAAGAGTAGTTCTGGCTGCCACCAGGCAGTGCAACCTCGAGCAGAGACAGGAGATTGGGAACGCCTGAGCCAACTTAAAACAATTTCCAGAAGGCACCTGAACCTAAGAGGTTGAATTAGGCATGAAGAAAATTATGTCTGAGCCATTCAGGCTCTGGATCCCACCGGAGAAAGCTACTTTTGCTGTTGATGCTATAGTGACCACACAGGAGCATCTGTACCCCGCGGCAGATACCCAGTAATTAGTATTCATAATAGTGAAGCTGAAGCCTGTGGAAGTACCATCCCTCTTCCCTAAAAGTGGATTTTATCAGAGACCCTAGAGATCCAGACATCCTGCAGAGTGGGACATCTCCCCAGCAGTCCAGCTTGTGGATCAACTCTCAAACTCCTACCAAGAGTTCCAAAGTTCAGTCAAGACTAAACCCCAAGAGACAGGGGATGGAAATGGGAAAGGCAGTAGAATGAATAGGAATATAACTATCCAATGTTCATATATACATACACGACCACTGTGACTCCACCTCATGTACAACCTCAAGAATGGGAAGTTATACTCCATGTGTGCGGGATATGTCCAAATACGTTCTACTGTCATGTATAACTAAAAAGAACAAATAAAAAAATTTTTTTTAAAAAGACTAAACTCCAATTACCGAAATCTCTAGTTTAGAACTCTAGCACCTCCACCACAGAAATGCACATTTTGTCAATACCCAAATTGTATTGAGCCCATCATGTACCACATGACTCAAAGCTGAAATGTACTACAACCAGTTGTGTTTCCCAGTCGCGAAGCCTGGAAGCTAAGTGAGGAACACAGATGCGTTGGGCCTAAGGACCCCCAACCCCCAAGCCAAGGGTTACAGAGCCAAAAGCAAATGCAAACAATGGAAATCCATCCTGGCCAACAGATTTGACCACCTCAGCAGAAATAAGCCCTTTATTTCTCAGCAAGAATTTTTAAATTTTTTTCTCTTTTTTTTCACTTCTTTTTTCTTCTTTCTGCCATATTCATACTTTTTATCCTTCTTTGTAAATTTTAACTATTTAATTTTTTTTTTCAAATTTCACTTCACCATATTATATTACTTTTTACTTTTTTCCATTATGCATGATTTTGTGGATGGGGGAGGTATATAGTCACTGCATGGATAGGTTTGAAAAATATATGAATATTTGTGTAATTTTATTTTCACATTAATTGCTTCCTTCTACACTTATTATTTAGCCTTGATTTGTCTTAGGTAGGATTCAATTATATGCAGGTGTGAGTTGATTTGATCTTACAGTTGCTAGTTGTTTTGTACCATGGTTCTTTCCCCTCTTATCTCTACTTCTTCACTCTCTTCCCCTATTAACAACCAAATTTCTGTTTCCACTTCCTCTCTTTATTACTTTAGGAAATCTTTTATTCTTTCTTCCTTACAGCCAGCATCTACTACCAACCTCCTGCATCTCCTCTGATCACTTTTTAAAAATATTTTCTACTCACCCTATTTTCTCTTTACATAAGAAACCATAATCCCACCAAATAGTAAAATTATATGGTTTATGTAATTCACCCCCTTCATGTTGACATGATAATTAATATGGTGGACAGCATAGTAAACATCTGATGTAGAATGCCTGAAATAGTGGACAGTTTTGTATTGCTCAAGCTGATGTTAAATGCTAACCCCCACCATTCCTATATAGGTGGTAATATTACATATGTCAAAGTAGACATTGGACGTTTATCTTAAAACTATACAATCTGTTAATGACTTCAATGTTATTCCTGGCTCCTTCCTCCCTCTAAGAGGGGATGGAAAGTGATTGGGCCACTTCAAAATTACAGAGTAGAGACTCTGCTGCTGAGAAATACTCACAATCCAAACAACAGTGAATCTCACCCCACATATTATCTAGCCCCACCTGAACCTAAACATTACTTCAATTCATAAAACTTGGAGATGAAAACCCCCAAACCAAAAACCAGGCCCCAAGAAAGAACAACCAAAGGGGAACTTCAGGACCATCCATCAACATTTACTCATATATCAAAAACAGAAAGAAATACTAGAATTGAAAAGAACTACACATAAAGACACACATATAGAAGAGTAAGGAGAAACAAACTCAATTGCACAAGTATAGGACCTCTGAAAACTTGAGGAAACAGGCAAACAAATTCTCCCCCCTCCACACACACACACAAAAATTCATAATGCCCCAACAAAGGATCTCATAGATATGGAAGTGGATGAAATTCTTATTATTAAAAACTGATTATTGAAATGTACAATGAACTAAAGTAAGATCTTCTAAGGAATTAATTAAGAGAGAAAATTCAAGATATGAAAAACCATTTCCATAAAAAATAGAAATATTAAAAATAAACCAATCAGAACTCCTAGAAATGAAAGACACATGAATCAAATTTTAAAATTCACTTGAAAACATCATCAACAAATTAGATTGTATAGAAAATACTACCTCAACCCTTTAAAACAGATCCTCAGGCCTTGAATACGGGATACATGAACTTAATACACAGAATAATATAAAAGGGAAAAATAATAGAACATGATTAGAATGTACATGAACTCTGTAAAAACATCAAGAGACCAAACCTGAGAATCATCAGGATAGAAGAAAAGATGGAGATAAAGGCATGAAGAACTAAAGGCATTAAGAACATTTTCAACAAGATAGTCACAGAACACTTTCCCCATACATATCTTAAGTGAGGTAGACATCCACAAACAAGATCCCAAATAGACTTGATCAGAAGAGAAGTTCTCCAAGACACATCATAATAAAAATGCCTAACATAGAAAATAAGGAAAGAATATTAAAGCTGCAGGAGAGAAACATCAGGTCACATTTAGAGGAAACCAATCAATAAGGCTCACTTCTGACTTATCAACTTAGACACTAAAATTAAGGAGGGCCTGGATTGAGATATTTCAATCTCTAAAAGAAAACAATTGTCAACCAAGATTACTGTACCCAAATAAAGCTCTCTTTCATATTTGATGGGGAAATAAAAACCTTCCAAAACAAGGATAAACTGAAAAAATACATGACAACCAAGCCAACACTACAAAGAATTCTAAAGATAAATTGCACACAGTGGAATCCTCCCCCCCCCCCAAAAAAAAATCCCAAAACTCCCAAATAAATGAAGATTAATAAAAGACTAATCATCTAAACAAGAATCAAGACAGAATTAAATATAACAAAAAATTCAAATGGCAACAAACTATAAACAGATATCCATAACAACACTGAATATAAATGGTCTAAACTCCACAATTAAAAGACATAGATTAGTAGAATTGATCAAAAAACAAGATCCAGCTGGATCCTGTTTGCAAGAGAATCATCTCACAGGCAAAGACACTGAAAGCCTGGAAATGAAAGGATGGATAAAAATCCATGCAAATGAATTCTGAAAACAAGATGGAGTAACTATTCACATATCTGACAAAGCTGATTTCAAGCAAAAGTTAATCAGAAGAGATAAAGAAGGCTGTTACATCCTAACAAAGGGAATAATTCAACAAAGAAGATAAAACAATGGCAAATATGTATGCCCCAAATGTCAACACACCCAGTTACATTACTCCTTGATATTAAATCCTAGATAGACCCTAATATAATAACAATGTGTAATTTTAACACACCCTTCTCACCAATAGACCAAGTCATCAAATAATAAAATCAATAAAGGTATGTATAACCTAAATAATAGTATAAATTGAATGGATTTAATAGACATCTGCAGAATGTTTCATCTCAAAAGAGTTGAATTTACCTTCTCAGCACTTCATGGAACCTTTTTCAAAATAGAACACAGTCTAGGTTACAATATAAGTCTTAGCAAATACAAAAAAAATGATGTAAGCTTGTGTATT